AAAAATACTAATCGAGATACTGCCTGGCATTGGGAAATGAAACTTTTCAATTTTAATCAGATAATCTAACAAGCCAGGTATTGCTGCAAAAATTGGTTCTATCTGAAGAATGCACCTACAGAGCATTGGAATGTTTTAATTTATCGAATTCACTTTTGTCTTTTTACTTAAATGTTCGAATGAAGAGCTATAGTGTTTAAAAATGACCTTTTCACAGTGTTATCTTCTCCTGACCTCTTCTTACTTCACTACCCTCTTTTCGACGTCACTGTTGAAAATGTCGATCAACAGGGACCATAAGAATAGCAAGGAAAATCGAATCTTCTAATTAATGCAGAATTTTTGTTTATGAAAACTATAAATTGCATCCGAAAAGAAGGATTCAAAGAAAATATTCGGGATCCGGAAAAGAGTAAATGGGTAAAGTGGGCAAAGTAAACAAGCTTCATTTCAGATTCACATACGCTTCTCAGAATAGAAGCATAACTTTTTCCTCTAATAACTTCTGCATAATAGTCAGAGAGCATTGTAATTTATGAAAACTTTCGAGCACAATTTTAAATTAGGCGTCCATTCATCTAATTTAAAACTTTAGAAATGAGTTGAAAAAGAATTACGGTAAAACAAATTCAAATTACTCAAAGATTTGTTAAATCTATACAAGCAAAAATTGGAGTTGAGAATTTTGGATGAAAGTGAATAAGTAAATTAGATCGGATACATGATTTTTAATGGGATGATCAATATCGTACAACTAAAGTAAGCTGCTAAAAAATAATGTAACGATATTCATCCCATTTTGTAGTGTTGACTAAACGAAACAAATACGTTATCAGATGCGCAATCGTCCAAATTGTTTTACATCATTAACTGTTTCTTGAGAATTTGAGGGAGCAGAAAACATTATGTCATTCTTGAGATACAGTAAAGAAAATCAAAAAGATTGAAAATTGCTAATAATCCCATTATCTTTCATTGTATAACTTATGTAGATAAGATTTGTAAGAGAATAATTTATTTCTGAACACTGTTGTGTTCGAAAAACTTGCAACTGTGTTTGTTTGTTACGTTATCTCTCACTACTGTATCGCAAAAATATCACGGAAAGATAATTAATGATAAGTGATGGCGCATGATAAGGTGTTCAGAATGGATGCCAACCGTTTATTTTTCGAGGATTTACGACCGGAAAGTAAAATTGCATTGGATAATGATTGATTGATGGAATCTTTGTTGAAGGTCATCAGAAGTTCATGCACCTTTTTCTTTTTCGTCCCGCTATGTTATAAATAGTGCTTGGAAGCAGAATAGGGGGGAGGGGGAACAAAGGTGAAAGCAGGTAGTTTATTATACTAATGATATTTTGAACTAGTAGAATGAGTAGTTTTATAGTTAACACCATTTCTGAAAAATGACATTAGTTATGAGTAATAAAGTGCAAATTTCGAAGATAAATAGTACGAATAATTCGTGAATGAATAGTATTTCCGGTATTTTTACGATCTAATTGTGATAATAATTAGATTATGTTATGATAAATTTCACCTTCTGTAGTTCTTGTTAAACTTATCGCGACAGAAAGAAAATACGAGGAAATGTCATTCCATAAAATATTCCGATGAAAAGTTTTCTGGATTTAACTGATGCGTAAAATCGATTGAGAGTAGATTCAAGCAAATTGTCCAATCTACAAAAATAAATAATGGAGTAAGACGGTAAATGAATGGAAAATCAAACTAAAGTAATAAAGTGATTAACAGTTAAATAATTTATACTAAGAAAACCAGATGTCAAATAAATTACTAAAAGGTGGCATACAGATAAATGTTAAAATGTTAAATATATAAGTAGAGCAAGAAATATTGAAGTTCAGAAGATAACACCGAAATATTGTTGAATGATTAAATATTCACTTCCCGGATGACCTTCGATAACCTTACCCGTTAAAGCGTTTTTCAACAAAAGGTCATTAAATTCTAACTTTCATCTTTTATACTTCAAAAGTGCGAATCCTTTGCTAAACCAATTTGTGGACCGCAAACAACCTTTTCAACTTTAACAAATCCAATAAAACGATACGATAAGAAAACCTATCAGCCGACTAAATCAGCCATTATTTGTCGATGCATGTATAAAAATGATGGTGTTGAGCAAAACTGAGGCTGTAGTTAAAAACGATTCTTATAAAATGATCCATTAATGTCTTATCAGATCGGTGTGCGCAGTTTTTTATTTTATATCTTCCATAATTACTATAACAATTCGATTTCAACTTCCTGAACGAAATGAAATTTTATAAGGAGTATTTAAATTCCGAAATGTTTCAAAATAAGCAAAACTGTCTCACATATTCGAAAGAAATTAGTACAATTCTAAGCGTTTCTGAACATGTATTCAACATTGAATTTGATTAATTAAATCGTATTATTTACATGTTCCAATTTTCAACACTGTGTGAAAAACACATCCACCATTACATAGTATCGGATTACAGAATTAATATGGTGTTGTAATAATGTTTGTTCATGTTCATCCGAGTGATGGATGTGATACACGGTCAGCGGTTACTCTTATTCTCCCAATCCCTTCATTACTTGCTGGTTGGTCAGCAGATGTCAAAGATGAAGCTAATCCCATTGACCTTGTCTATTACCTTTAACAAGATGGCATGCTTCTTCAGGCGGTATGGTCAGAAGCGGCGAGTAGTTTGTTAGAACATTATGTACCGCATATTCTTAGCTTACCTTTTCCGCTCTTATCCCATAAGGCCTCTTTCTCCATTCACAACTGTCTTTTTGACATGTTAGTTTGATGGATCCAAGGGACTTATTTTAACTCATCTGATCTAATTCCAACCGTTTTTTTTATTTATCCAATCCTTATCGAAAGATTCCCTGTTGGTTCGATTTAAATCGGAAATTTTTTGCTAGTAGTAATTAAAAACGAGTGATTGTTAATTAGAAAAAAATTTTATTACTAACAGTATTTTTTAATAATGCTGTCTTCATCAATATTTATGTCACAGACAAGAACTCTGAACGACCGTTTAAGCATAAACTTGCATACCATAGCATGGATTGAGCTATACTGCCGACAGATGAATATATTGTCGTCTTCTTTCCCGAGTAAAAAATTTTTATCCACCTTTTTTTACATTCCTCTTGCTAGTCATTCCTGCACATGTTCTACCTGCCATATATTGGTCTCTGGGATATATCAAAGCTAAATATGGTAGCACCTTTTTCCATTAAATATAATTATAAATGTATCTCTAGAATCTCCGCTCTCTCTTGTCCGTACGGTACACCTTTAAATTTCAAAAATCCATTTTCACGTGGGTATAAATTATTATCAATGCCATAATAACTCCTTTTTCATTGCCACTGTGTGTCGTTGCAGTTTCTGCTCAAAAATAAAAACTATGCATAAGTGATCGGTATGGAGATAATCAAAAAGGTTCTGTCCCATACAGGCTAAATACACTTCTAAAAAAAAAAGAAAAACTTGCTCTGGGATAAACCAAATTATACTTAGCATGTAATTGAAAAAATTTATACTTAGTATGTACTTCAACTAGATAATTCGTGACTACTTTAACGATAACGCAACCCCACAAGCAGAATTGGACCGTAGTCGAGCTGCAATGGCAAGTTCTCATGTTTATGAGAAATGAAGCTTCTTAATTTCGACATAGTTTTAAGTATGAATTCAACTTGAAAAATATGGGAAAAATGACTCGTCAATGGTATACTGTCTCTTGAAAGAAATATATCATCAAAGCCACCCTTACAAATGCTCCTCGTAGTGGATGTTCGTTACGTGTGGTACAATAAAATTTACAACGTGTAAGGGATCACACAGAGACTACTGAAAGGGTTAAGGAATAACAACAATTCAATTCCTTTATTATTACCCTGAAATAGAGAATTTCATCAAAGGCGCAACGTGCAACCTTTTATGGATACTATCTCACCATAAATGTTCGTTGCGTAACTGAAAGCAATTTGTTGATGTGATTGTGCTGTACTTACGAGATTGAAAAATAATTATGAACCCATGCCAACATTCTACAACAATCAGAGTTAGCAAGTTGATTATCGCATATAGCATCGGAAGAAGCGAGAATTAATCGAATAAAAACAAGTGTTATTTAGAACAAGGAAGCTAAGAAACGCCAAATACGCTAAAACTTTAGGCTGCACCAACTCAATCATAAAACATTTTCCATTGAGATCACATAGAAGCTTTTCCGCTCAGACAATAAATGCGTCCGTTTCTTCATTTCAGGCTGCTCATTAATAATTTAATAAATGCATGTGCTAAGTCATGGTTTTTGGCACAAAAATTTAAAATTTTTCTCCGAAAGTAAAAGTCAACCTAAATTTCAATCCATCGTACAAGAAAAACAATGTTTTTCCTGTGATAACAATGTATAAGGTTACGTATGTAGATATTAACCAAATAGAAAATTGTTTGATTTGATTTGTCTTAGAAATAAACGAAAAAATTAAGAAGTTGCTGCAAAACCACAACTTCCATGGATTTGAAAAATACGAAGCAAAGCATTACTATTACTCTGCATTATTATGATTTCAAGATGGCCGGGAAATAAATTGAACTATTTTACCCAGAATCTGGCAGAACTTTTTACTACAAAAAAAGTGGAAGAGATCGCAAGAAGCTCTGCCATTACTCTACCACCAAAAATCCTACCGATATTTCAGGCAGAGATTTCAAGGTTATTTTTCTATCAAATACTAGAAAATTGTGCTGTTCGCTGACAGACAGTAATACTTTCAGTATAGCAAAAGTATAACATCCGCACTATTTCATGATGTGTTATAAAACGAATAAGCATAACAGAGGATGCGAACAGCTTGCATAAATATGGCAAGCTTTACTAGCATCTGAATACTGGAAAATACATTAGTTCCAATAAAAGACCATTAGAATTTTTCAAAATGCCTTCATAACTTCCATAAAAAATGAAAATAAGTTTATGCTTCTTTCAGTAATTACCAGCAGTACTTGGAGCGGGACGTGCCGCTGAGGTAAGTGTCGATGAAAATGGCCGTGCAGAATGTGCAAGCATCAATCTTTCCACCATCATTTTAGCATATCGCAAACGATCCCTGTAAAAGGCCGAAAGTAACTTTTTGACTGATTTATTTCTTCCAGGCTAAAAGATTCAATCCAACTGCTACAAATATTTGGGCCCTAAAGCGAGGATGGAATTCAATACCGATTTTTGTAAGATGAATCCCATCTAGACATGAAAAAAAACGAAAAAACCGTGTACTTCATGTACAGTACTTCGCTCAGCATCCAACTCTGTTCCGTTTAATTTGAAATTCAAAAATGTTACAAAGAGAATGAACTTACAAAAGCGCTTTCGGGCATCCGTATTTAGCAAGCGCAGATAGTTTGAGGACACGGAAATTGCGCTCGCTGTCGATGTATGTAGCAGCTCCCATCAACGGACAAATTACGAGCTTCGTATGGTCCTTAATACATAATTTGGTTGGACATATATTAAAAAAAATTATAAATCATAAAAGCATAACAGAGCAGGCAAAGCAGCTAAATTTAAACTTCTCCAGAATGGACGACCGATTCATATAGCTCGAGTTCTAAGTTTGCATGTACACAAGTTTGAAATAGAAAAAATTACACGGACAAATTAAAGTTTGAGTTCTGGTAACTTGACGATCAAACTTTCAAATGAAATGAAATTTAGGATATTAGAACTATTCTCACCTCGAAAAAATTAAGCTGTAACGTCCCATTGGTCAGATGAAGCACGATAGCGGACTGCGTTCGGAACCAAATGCGGAGAACAGGTAAACGAGCTAATTCATCACCCTCACGTATAGGCATGTCAGCACCAGCTTTTTGCAAATGCTCAGTCATGTAATTTTTGAAATATTGCAGCAGAGTGATCTTCTTTTGCAGTTTTTCAGGGTAATGCTTTACAGTGTAATAATGCTCATCATTTTCACGTCCCAGGTATTGCACTTGTCTAAATTGTAAAATCTAATTTGAAATCGCAATCACGGTGGAATGTTTAATCAAAATTAAAAAAATTAAATTAATTGAAGTTCATAAAACTGTTCCATGCTTAGTAAAAGCAACTCACTCTCCCGCCGCATCCAAGACCATCTTCGTGTTATCATTAAATACAACGCCAATGGAATTATCACAAAGTTGATATCCCAACCCATACTTGTCGGAATAATCAACCCATTTTGAGATCCAGAAGACTGGCATAGCAGCAGGATCCTCTAGATCATCTGAAGGAATATCAATAATATAGAATCAATTTTCAGGAAATTGGTATGAACACTTAAACCTATTAATTTTTTTTATTTATGCTGTTTACTTTTGCAGAAATTTTGTACCGCAAAATATACTTACCATCTCGAATATCTGGATTGTCCTTTGGCTTACTATTGACGACTTCCGCTAGCTGTCTACACAAACCTGACAAATAACAGTCAGATGGATAATCACCAACTCCACACGATATTCCTGCCGCTGAAAATATACAATTCATTCCAAACAATTTCGGAACAATTCTTCAGCATCGCGATTTGAAACCTAAATTTGCTCTGTTTATGCTTTTTGCTTTCGCGGAATTAGCCGCCAGCAACAATCGTAGTGGAGTAATATACTCTCTACTCCTTAAATTTTATAACCAGTGTTTGTTGTGTATTATCAAATATTAGAGAGTTGCAGGAGTGTATAAAAGCTTTCTTCTGTTCTTATTCGAATATCAAGATTTGTGATATGATAACTTAATTGCAGTAATGAAAAAAAATCTTCACTCTCACGAATACAGACTCCTACTCCTATGCAAATAGAGCTTTGTACCTTATCGCAATACAATTGGCAGTTACAGTGCTAAAAAATATATCGCTGAAAAATTCAAGAGGAGATAAGATAAAGGTAATAAATAATTCATTACTGCAATTAAGTTATCATTGGCCAGCTAAGAACAGAAGAAAGCAACTAAGAAAAACCTACTTAAAAACTCTATTAAATAAAAGGTTTTAGAAAATTCCTTAGCTCTTTTCAACAGTCGATGGGACAAGTGCAGAAAGAGGACTTACTGGATGAAATATTGAATTCGCAAAGGAAACAAAGAATTCACCTAAGAAGTAAATTTAGGACCATATGCTCTCTTCGAACTAACAGTGCCGTAAATCAACAAAAAAGATATCTAATAATTCTTTTATTTCAACAATTAACATACTTATCGAGACCGAGTAAGCATGATAATACTTGGAAGATGGAGTCCTGAAGAATATATGAGTATGACTTTCATTAGTCTCAAAATAGATAAGCCAAGCTTTGGTGAATATCTCATTGCTACTCTGTTTTTGATCTGTTGGTAACTATACTTTACTAAATAGCGCAAATCATTATAATTGCTTATTTTCATGCAGCATCATTTTTTTAGCTGGTTTTAACGCGTACTGAATGCACTTACTACGCGAGTCGCATACACGATGCTTCACATTTGAAAGAACCTGCAACTCGGGAACAGAAGTCAATGGACGTACCGGCACTGCTAATAGATCCTGTAAATTCAAATTCACTAAACTGTAAACAGCATCAGATTCAAAAAGACCAAAAATTACTGTTTATTGGTACCTTACGCACACATTCTTTCGGGCTAATCAAAATATTTTCCTGTCTCAATTCGTTCAGAGCGGAACGCTTATCCGGAATTTCTGTATTCGCAAATTTGGGAGCCATTGTAAGACACGACGTCGGTAGCCTGCTCGGGGTATAACCTTTGAAAAATGCGTAATTTGACACCTGAAACTGATAGATTCTGATCCCTTCTATATAATTCGTGCCCTGAACAATGATCAGGAATCGAAAAAACGTAATGCAGTATACATTAGAATTTCAGCAAATGTCACATTACTTGATTCTCCACATTATATGTGAAACAAATCATTTTTATTAATCTTCATCCATTTTTTGCCAAAAATCCAATATTTTTTAGATAAATTTGACTGAGTAGTAAAGCTGTCAGACCATTCCTGGTGAAAATAAAAACTTTTAAACGGAAAGGATGATATAGTAGTTGAAAGCAAAAACTTCATGAATAGTAGGACGTTTATCAGGATCAGTTTGCAGCAATCGCCGGATGAGCTGCTCGGCTTCGTCACTAATACGACCTGGTATTGAATAATTGTTGTTTTTTATTCTGTTGTATGTATCCTAAAACATCAAATGTCTTTTTCGTAATTGTTGAATTCAGAATATTTAAAAGAATCTTGCACTATTTAATATTATGTTGAAATAAAATACCTTAAGAGAAGAAGTTTCAAACGGCGGTTTTCCCACCAATAATGTATACAAAATACAGCCAATTGCCCAAATGTCTACTTCGTAGGAATGACCTTTTTTGTCGAGCATTTCAGGTGCAATGTAATTAGGTGTGCCACACAAAGTCTTCTTCCTATTAAGCAAGGACTTTCAAGAAGCAAGAAAATTAATATTTTGAAGGCAGAAAACAAAGTTAAAATTTAACTCCTGAACTTCTTCAAACTTGATAGTTCCATTAATGGCAACATATGCCTGATGATACTATACAGTCTTAAAAATGGATTGATGGCAGCAGCAAAACTGCTTTCTAATTAATCTTGCTGGTTAAGTTCATATCTGACACCGAATATGCTTCTAAAGTTTTCCAAAATTGGAACAAACCTTTGGCCGTCTACCTCTACTACTGTCGCTAAGCCAAAATCACCAACTTTGATCTCCATTTCTTCATTTAAAAATAAGTTTCCCAATTTTAAATCTCGATGAATGATTTTATTCTCATGAAGATACTCGCAGGCCTCAACAATCTGTAAAAAAATAAATGGAAGAAAAAGTTGACAGCGAAACTTGAACCAACCACCTTAATTGATTCACTAAATTCCATAAACAGGAATAAGTGATAAGCAATATACCGACTGAATTATACCGAAGTGAAATTACATGGAATGAAAAAAAAAGGAAAACATTATTGTCCCTAGTAAAGTCTGTTTACCTGCTTAGTGAAATAACGTGATTCCGGTTCAGTTATGTATTTGCGACGCTTGTGCAATTCCATCAAAGACTAAAATATATAAATCGCAAAATTAAAATGAAGTAAAATCATGACTTGCAGTAAGATATGCAAATTCAATTGATAAGCAGAAATATACAATCCATTTAACAAATTGGTGAACAAAAATAATGTTACTGTCAGAATTCGATCCTCAAATTTGAACTTCTAATGGGAAATTCAGAGTTTTCGTAATATTCAAAAAAACAGACTCTACGAGGGCACAGTTCTAACAAAATGTAGACGTTATCAGGATCTTCGAAGAAACCATCCATTCTCACAATATGCTTGTGTTGTAAATTTCTATGGATTCGGATCTCTTGAGCCATCTGCAACAGTCCCATATAAGTCCATATTTCCACAAACGGATAAAATCTGATATGGATGAATGAAGTATATGCAGAAAATAAAGTAGCTTTAGAATTAATAAGATATCGCTAGTGAATGTGAAGTTGCAAGGTTATTTTGATAACGGCCAAACGCAGAGCATAGATAAGCTAAGGCTTGGGAAATCTGAAGAAACACTGAATCTTAGTCTTCTGAAAAGAACCAGCCCATAACTAATACGCATCAATCCTCGTTGATGCCAATGAAACTAGAGTGCTCCGAAATTCATAGCACAGAGTCAAATATATATAGAACTATATTATAGAAATTCTTCAACGATTAGGAAACATATACCTTATCGCGCTGATGATTTTTCAATAGAAGTAATTTTGAAACTACTTTGCCAGCATATAACTTCTGGTTCATTATGTCAGTAAGTTCATAGCACCGAGCAAAACCACCTTTGCCCAAGAATCTTCCCTTTTTATAAGTAACGCCCGTATCCGGATTGACCACAACATCAGGTACCTCTTTCAAAACCGGTTTCTTCGAGCTCATGTTGATATCAGAACTAAAATCAGATCTAAATTACAACTCAGATCTTCAGTTTTTATTAGCTCCAAACGATTTTTTGAGTGAAATTTTACACGACACTGTCACTCGATATCACTCCACCTCTTGAAAAAAAAAAATGAAAACACACAATTTGATAACATTTAAATGCAGTGGTCGTCTATTTGACTAATTTTAACTAAAAAAAGTGAAAATAGTTATATCTCATATAATGTCAATAACAAAGTCTGGTAAACTAAAACCCTGTCTTAATACTATCCGTTTTCTTATAACATCTTCCCATTCAACACGTCCTTATATCATTCATCACGTGAGAGAATAAGGAAAACTTTCAGTGGGAAGGAAGTCTAAGGTTTGAAAGGAAAACAATTTCCGGATTTCTGTGAAGAAGGACACCTGCGAGAATAAACGACAAGGAAAATATGAAGAAAAGTGGCTAAAAATTTGCTATCGTTTATTAAGCGTCTCAGAACATCGATCTAGCAGCTTACGTTACGACAAATCCAGCTATTTGAGAAATAAACCGTTAAGAACACATAACCTGTACTTAAATATCCTCTGCTTATGGCCTGTTAGCTGACTGGTATGTAAATTTTTGTGCCATGTCCGAAGTTTGCAATGAATTAAAAAATAAATCATATGTTAGATATAAAAACCAAAAAATTGCTCTAGAGCACGTATGACCCATAATCTTAGGGAGAAAAAGGATAAAATAAGAGGAATGATACCTCTGTCGGGAACTGAAACAGACACATCGAATATGACTAAATGCGTGCGAAGACATGCAAATTTCATATTGTCCATAGATCAAACAGTCCTAGTCCCTTTTTCCTTCATGGAAATTGAGACAAAATATGAATTCACTGGCTTTTTAACAAGTGTTAATGCCTTTTGGACAAGCAATGAATTGATTTATTTTTAAAAATATCAATTCATTAAATGGCATCTTCCCCGAATGCCCCACCTATCATTACAGATAAATAGAAGAAATTTCTCGAAATTTCTCGAGGTCTGCGCACATACAACACACGTCATCCGTCAATTAAGCAAAAATCGGTTGCTGATAGTTCAGAACCTAGCCAAGACAGACTCCTGAACTATTCTTTGGCACGTCATGAACCTGGCCAAACTTTCAAATAATCTGTCAAGGAAATATGGAGAACCACGTTCTTTTCAAAATTCAAAAAATTCTCAAGGAGTCTGGGTCGCTGTGCAAACGATGCGTCTCGAACTAAGGGAAAACTGTATTGTGAACTCCCCGGGGATTTGTGTGCCATGTATGCTATTGCGATCGGTTCTCAAGTTTCGTTTTGTTAAATTGTGGTAAAAAATATATCAGAAATTTCCCGCTTCTTGCGAGCAGCAGTGGAAGGCATTTTTGGACAGACCATCGAACAATCAGGAAAGATTATTTTTTTTCGAAGATCTAAGTCGTATTTCAATTTGCAGTTTATTTAGTTCAATGAGTTGTTTACTCCAACAACACCAAGTTACCGTAAGTATCCTTTACTTAACTTATGTAATTGTATTCACAGTTCTCTTTGGCATTCGATTGATTATATAGTAGTTATCCTTGTCTCACAATATGCCCGATAGTTCTTGACACCGTTGATGTCTCTTGGTTAGATTATTTATCATTTTATTGCGTACCATATGGACAATACTAAAGTGTTTATATAGTTTTGTTTCGAAGATAATTTTCTAACTATAATTTGATCGCTTTATTTCTTTTTAAGTTACTGGTTGCTTTCTTTGCGCTTCGATGTTGACCGCACATCTTGGCTTCACGTCAGAAACGTCGCTTTCTTTTAAACATTTAACGAATTCACTATCGCAGTTGCAGATTGTTCCTCGACAAGCATTCTTTGAATTTTTCGCTTCTTCTAAATTAATTTGACAATATTAAAATGCTATGCTTTTCTCTATTTGCTGTTGCTATTTATTGATTAGCTGCTGTCATGTGGTGATTCATTCATGATTCTAAGTCAACCAGTTAAAAAGATTCTTCAGTTAATATTTTATGAACTTGAGCTTTACCTTTTTTAGCTAACATGACTTACGTATAACTACCAGAACTGTGATGTGCATAAGTGATAACCTGGAATTAACTAAAAAATTTCGAGGTCACTAACTTAATCGATCAGATTACAAATACCTTACACTTTTGCTTGCAACATTTAGAGAGATGAAAACAAACCGCTGCAAACAGGAGTCTGATCCACGCACTTCCAATCGTAAGTAGTGAAGTAGAGCAGTAACCCATATTTACAATCGCCACTTTCCAAAGCTGCGCTATAGCAACCCTTGTGACGTATGCAACAGCTGGAATACAGTTTTTATGGATTTTTAAATAAAAAGAAAGTGAGAAAGTTTTGTGCTTAATCTTTCAAGTGAATCCAGTGACATCGTGATGACATGTGACTATATTTTACCAGGTATTTTTACCTAAAATCTGAGTAAGTGAAATAATTCCATCCTAGCTATAGAATAACAATGCTGACTGCTATTACCCAGTCTGTTGCCAACTCTTTCCTGTTTTTTAAACTTTAATTTAATTTAAATCTAGTATAATTAGATTTAAGTTGTCATAGATTTAAATTTGCACAATTTGTTTACGAAATTAGAAAATCCCAGCAAACTTTTCTATCAGCGTTTAACTGTAACTTACATATCGACATCATCAACCGGAAGTTTGTAACTCCGTCCTAGTCCACAGTTACATCCATATCCGTTGTAATAAAATAAACATTTTCCGCCGATGCACTTCTTCATGCTAAAGAGGTTCCAAAATGCCGAATATGTTGATGCTATTAAGCAGGCTAATATCAATGTGCGTAAAAACATCTGGAATTGGTATTAAATTGATATTAATATAGCCAATTATTCCAATACTTTTTCACTTGGTTAAACTGACACTGGGATTGCTCGACAGTACTAGTTTAGCTATGCTCACATTATCATCTTTGTGGCTAGTATCATTATCGAGTTACTGTTACCGACATCGTAATAGTATCAATATCGATATTAGTTGTAGTATATTTCAAACCAGCCAACCTTTAGGTATCATGAAACATTCTTATTCAAAGAAATTGAAAATAATAAGAAATATCTCGGAATAACATAGAAAATTGGAACGGTGTAGAACTTTTCAAGATCACTAATTAATATTGTTGTTGCCTTTACTAACGCAGCATGTAAAACTATTAGATTTTGTATTTGACAGGTCCTATAACACAACCGTTTCTGAAGCAAAAACTCTCAGTATGCTTGAATAAAGATTTTTTTTTTGTGCTTTAAATCACGGGTAAATGTGGGAAAAATACCAAAAAGTGTACTGCATTATTACAGCTGGAGAGATCCTTATAATCAGGAAGGAATTGCGATCGTCCTTATCAATCTTAATTCGTTATCAGTAGTCTTCTTCATTATTTGCCAAGAGTAAGAAGTAAATTCCAGTTATTTGTTATCAGCAAAATGATAATGATCACTTGATAGTTCAGTCCTGTAGCAGCCAACATTTATTTAACCATATCAGTTATTGCATTACAGCATGATTTCTAACGTTTACAATGAGAATAACAAAAGTACGAAAAATGGAATTTCTTAGTATATACGTATAATGGGACTAATTTCGGATGAAATAGATGAATATTTACCCTTTTTAAAGAATGTTTAACTTTTCCTGTAATAAACCAAATAAATAATTGAAATTTCCCGACCGTACTTTGCGACATCTGTCCCAGTTTAGCTTTAATAATGATTTATAGCCTTTCTTGGAATCTGTAAACTAGAGGTAAGGTTGAAGTGAACTACTGAATAATCTTCAATGCAGCAGATTTGCAGAAAGATTCATTCCTAAGGGAACTACACCATCCTATGTGTATCTACGATTTCACTCTCATAATGACCGGTACTTTCTGTATGACAGTGCTGTATCATAAATGATTAAATTTTAAAATCGTTTTTCTTTTTTCATTTTACCAAATTTAGCAGCACTTTGACACTGTCATACTAAACTCTGAAACTGTTCTGGATTATTTATTAAAGCATTTAAAAAAAGAAAAAACATCTAAGATACGATTTCAGCTGTCTCGGCCTAGTTATTATGGTTGAAACCATAAGTTTCAAGGTCATTCCATTGCTAATAACACTTTCGTCCTTATATTATAAATGATTAAATGAATGTTTTTTACTAAAGTCAAGTTAAATAATAGATTCTAAAAGAAAAATCTCCAGGATGCAAAATGAAAATACATGATTAGGTAAGAAGTGTACAAGAGATCCAGCTGGAGGATAGATTGGGGATTCGGATAATTCCAATCGAGTTGATGGAAGCGAATTTGAGGCTTTCTTCGATACAGAAACATTTTTGATATATCGATCTAAATCCTTTATCGTATCATATATGAGCCCATTGTATCGAAATTAAATGTAACGCTTATTTCTTATTTTATGTTTTTTTCCCAATCATTCATTACTTGCTGTTTGTTTCATATTTTTTTAGACTGAGGAGACTATGATAGACAAAAAAAAAGAAAAAAAAATTGGAGTAATTAACCCAGCACAGGTTATAAAATACCTGAAGCATTTGCAATATCAACAACGCATTTGGCACATGAACTGTTTACGAACATATGATGCAGTGAAATTCTCCAAAGAAGACGTGAAGCCATCGAATGTTTAAAGCAAACAATTGTTATTAATTGAAAATTGAGAAAACTCTCATTAACTGGAGTACTTCATTAGTTTATAAAATAACGCTGTTTCCAGTTTTCATCTTATTTTATACAGTAAAATGAAAAATTTCTTTGGCTGATTGTAACTGCTATAAAAAGTGAATTTTTTATATGACAGCCGACGATGACCGACGATTTTGTTCTATAAGAAGTTCGAAAAAGCTCAGTGTCTTGAATTGTGAAGTTTTGCCGTATCTTTGTCGTATTTCACTAGACCTCTCACCCATCGATCAGCACTCCTTCAACGACTTCAATATCTTTGCAATGAAAATGCTCCAACAACTATTAGTAGTTGATTTCACGAACCTCGAAACAACAATTTCTTTGCGGTTCCTACTTCGATTAATAAATATGAGCTTAGGTTTGATTATAAAGCTTAAAATTTGCAGTTCGAAAGTACAATTTGTTTCGCACAACTTCATGCATGCACGACCACTTTCTGTAGAAAGATGTATTGCTTGCCTCTTTTCTGCATAATTCAATCATTCTTCAATTTCTTCACTTCTAAAACTAATTATTAAAAGTATTGAAAACTTGCAAATGAAATTTTCTATTGTCTGCGAATTCGGCGAATCCCAGTGCGATACAGTTATCAAGTCCCTAAATAATAAAGATAGTTTTTAACGAAAAAGTTGAGTGACTTGAGTTATGAAGTTTTTGCCTTATCTTTGCTATATTCACTTGACCACTCATCAGAAACATTAAAGGATAAAAAATTTTCTCTAAAAAATTGGCTCAGAATGAATACAAATAAGCGGTGAATAAATTTAAATCCAATTTTAGTATATCTTTAACGACATAGTTTTAATTGAATTTGCTTAAGTTTATCAAAATAGATTTGAAAATATAAGAAAAGATTCCTGTTCTTGTCTTCTCCAGTCTTGCTTTATAAGGAAAAAAAACAAGATTACAAAACTTTGTTGACCTACAAGACCTTATTGAGATCGTTATTGCTGTCAGCCTTGTTTTTTAGGCTTTACTGTTGTCAAGAACTTTCCCTATTAAATACCTAAATGCTACTATGTAAATAAAAAAAATAGTTGGTAAACTTCAAAAGATTTCTTAGTGTCGACTATAGGCCAGTTGCATAACGATACAGTCATTATATGGTCCACAAGAGTTTTGATATAGCTCCTTGTTTTCGAAATCTCAAAGGTACATCTCCAGCTAAACCTTTGGAAATTAGGAGAGGATTTTTCAGCTTTATCAGAAATTCACTTAACAGCCTATTGCTACTGATATTTGTATGATTCTATTCTATCAGTCACCTCGAATTCAGCAATTTTCATATCCAATGACCAAACATCATGAAGACGTAAGGTGACATTTCTCACAACTAACATCAAAAGCAACTTATCTAATGCTTATTTAGAATAAGTCATGACTGGAAGTTATTCTGAATTCTTTGCGTCCATTATACTCAAAACAGATTTGAGTCAGTGAACACTGTTTTACACTTCAGAGAAATCCAAGTCAGTATTTTGTATTCAAAACAGATATTTGTACTGACCTCTAGTCGTACTACTGCCCTACCTTTTATCACGCACTGACCCCTGGCCATGGTCCATCATAGTACTGGAAGTATGTGATATATCTTTTCTGTGCATATGTATCTTTCGTGTGTCTGCTGCTTGTGTGCTATGTCTGTCTGTATGTTCCTCTGCAGCATGTATATATGGTTGCGTGTTTCTGTGTGGTGTGTCGACGTATCAATGTATGTATGTATGTATCTATGTATCGATGTATGTATGTATGTATGTATCTATGTATGTGTGTATATGAGTATGTATATGTGTGTAAATATATGTGCGCATGTATATATGTATGTATGTATGTATGTATGCATGTATGTATGTATATATGTATGTATGTATGTATGTATGCACGTATGCATGTATGTATGTATGTATGTATATATGTACGTATGTGTGTATATGTGGAGCGGCACTCAGTGCTGGCGGTGCAGGAATAGGGAAGAAGACAATAGGTGTAGTGGTGATTCAGTTGTTGAGTGAGATGTGGAAAAGTTTGCCGCGGTGTGAGTGGAAGAGGACCGAGGTGGAAATAATGGAGATGTGAAAGTGTGTGGGAGTGTGGATGAAGATAAGTGTGAAATTGGTTTTAACAGGAAGTGATTCAAACTACGTTCAACTATGTGAAACTTAGAGCTGAAGATTATGTGGTATCGATTTTTCGCTCTTATAATTTAGAATTGCATTGGATTGTGAAATTAGTAAGCTTCCTTCAAGTCATTGTATATCTTTCTGTAAGAATTGTATCAGAAGAAGTTGCTTGTCTTAGTTTTTGGTTAATATTTAAAGTAGACATTCAGTTTAGTTTCTCATGTCACTTAACTTGTCAAACAGTTTGCTAAGGAATAATGACTCTTTTACGGCATCTTGTACCAGTCAGGGAGTTCACATATTACCTACTAGTGTTATGTTCAGGCTGAATTTTTATGTTATATGAAAGTTACTCAAACTAAGCCACTGCTTCTGACCTTATCTAGTATAGCAAGCATATTTTATGCTGACGTGAAATCTCGCAATGATATCTTGGTAAAACTTCTCTTTCTGGCAATGGTGATACTGTTACACCACGATGGGGCAATGTCTGAAATGAGGCATTCTTTATTTCTAATATGAAATTAATTGTTGATTGTAGTGGCAAGACCAGTTCAAGACCAGACTAGTTCTTGTCACCCTTTGATGGAATAAATTTCATGAAAACAAACGCGATGGCAATGGCGAGTGGAAGAAATGAAAGAAGGAAGGGATGGGAGGACAATTTTGCTCATATGCATATTAACATGAGTCTGCCAATGTGTGTTTGGTATGATGTCATCAGGTAGAACCGCTTTTCGATCGGTTTTGCCCTAACAGCTGCTATCTGGCAAAGGTTTGAATAGGCATTTCTTAGGTCAGTACAGGCAGGGTTGGTGATGTGGAATTTGGCTGCCAGGTAACTTCTCTGCCTCATCATCCATCTGCTTTACAAATAATGCCTAGATATTAAAAGACTTGTTGCTATAAGGACTTCTAGGATTCATGAAAACTGTACCTTAGTCAGTTTAGAATGAAGCTTATAGAACTTGTAAAGTGCAACATATTACGGGATAGTGAAGATTTCGATTCTAGTTTGTGGATTTTTTGTTAAAAATTGGTGACTAACAGAATCCGGTACTTTCTTTTTCCGAAATTTCTGTGCTCTTCTCGTCTGCTTTCTCTGCGTCATCGCGTTCTCTCTGTTCCTCAGTCCCTGCCACTTATCGATTATTCTCCCTAATTCGAATGGAAACCATCTCAGAGGACGAAAGTGGCAGGCAGTGTACGTGTGTGGTTGTTGAAATGGGCGTTTGTGCTCAAAGTGCTGCTTGGGTGTCGGCATATCAAGATCGTTTTTCCCTGCTAATGATCCCTCCTTCATCCTGCTAATCCTCTTCCACTCGTTCACTGTAACCTGTAACGGTGCTCTTTGAAGAACTGATAATATGACCATGTCTATGTGTTGCTCAAGATCTAGTGCTTGTGACGTTACTTGTTCCATTCGTTCTCTATGCTTCATCTCACCCGTTCTTTCTGTTTCGGTAAGGACGTACTGATTACAGTCCTGAGATTTTCAGGAATTCTTGTGGATATCCTCAGGAGAACAGTAAGTCGTTGGCCTCGAACAGTTGCATGTTTTTACACCCCAACAATAACTTTAGCATTTGCGATTTTATGGTTGACAACTCTCAGGAAGGTAGACATTTTTATGTCTTTGTTAAATATTCTTGGGCGATTTTTCTTCCCAAAACTTCAAAATTATTTTTTGCGAACAGTGAATAAAAAGTACGAATAGTATTCTGTGAGGTTTTTGGAAAAACGGTGTTCTTTTTCTTCAAATTAAGTTTAATTAGAAGTCTGGGGAGTGAGCATTATCCAATTTTTCCCTGGATTTGATTAGAGGATGATTTTCTTTTTATTTCCAGGGAGGTTGTCGCGAAAACGAAAGAAACTGAAGGAAACTTTCGAAGAGTCGTGTGGCGAAGAATCGCATTGCTTGTTTACCCTTAGTCACGTATGCCATTTGGAGGATACGCAGTGCACAAGCAGTGGTCTGGTCGCTTCCACGTCAGAATTTTCTCCTAACGTTGACTCCAATACTGGTATGTTAAGCGATGATGTGGTAGGAAGATTTTATGTATTTTATGTAATACAGTTAGTAGAGTATGAACGATTCCGTACAGTTGATTGAGGGCTCCACAGGCAGACATTTTAGTAGCACTACGACTTGGTTTTAAAAGTTTCTAGAAGGAAATGATTTTTGTTAAGCTCATTCAGCGAATTGTGAATGCTTAACCACATAAGTGTGACATGATCGTCTATCTATTCATCTGGATATTTTGGCTTAGTTACAGGGACGGAGAATTATGTAGTCTATCCCTGAGATGTTTGTGGTTAATTTTGACCCATCACTTCTACTTGTTTTTTTTTTGCATTGAAAACCGTGGATATATTGGGGAGGTAATTAATATACTTATGAGTAGACTTTGTGCAGTTAAACATTCTCATGGACTTACTGTTATCTCCATAAATCATTAGTTATACGAAAGGCCGGATAACAGGGAAGTAAATCTATTTGACTGCCTAGTTTAGTCGTGAACGGTTGTATTTTCGGGACGCTGGTACACTTGAAAAACTCGTGCTTTTTTGTGTGACTTTCTTTTTCCTGCTCGTAGTTGCAAAGTATACGGCAGTATCAATCCTGTCTTCAAAGGTCTGCTTATTGAAATTGATGCGGTGTCGCCCGCTATCGTCGGTTGTGGACAGTCAGCTGAAAAGACGTTTCAAAAGTGGCAACTATTGCGGTAAAACCCGTTCATAAACTGGAAAATAGCATAAAAACATTAATTTGGAATGACTTCACTTGTAGCAGTTGTTTGGGTATTTTTTAGATTACAGATGGATTTAGTGACTTTTATTGTCATGCTAACTGACATGTTGGATTTTGTAGAACTTTTCGTTGATGTTGGGATAAAGTAGAGAAGACACACAGTAGAAAAAAAATTTTTTTGATTTCTTGAACACTCTCTAGATCATTTTAGATAATCATTTGACAGGTTTTCCACGGAGTTTATTCATCATAAAATTGAACGGAAATGGCTATCAATATCAACCGCAGCGTACTCGATCCCTTTTACCGTTACAAAATGCCCCGTCTACAAGCCAAGGTTATTTCTTCACTTCATCCAAGCAAGATAAGGATATAAGGTTTATATTGCTTCTTAGTTTTGGTTTTAAATTTGTCGATGTTCTGCAGGTCGAAGGCAAAGGCAATGGAATCAAAACTGTCATTGCAAACATGACCGAAATTGCCAAAGCTCTTGAGCGTCCACCAACTTGTTAGTATTTTGTTCTGTAAAGTCTTTATATATTTTCATTTTTTCAGTCACTCCGTATATCACTGACCTAGATTATTTGGGATAACTTCTTAGTGTTCTTATTTATCATTTGGAGCACTGGAAAATGGTGTCGAGATGCAAATCGCATCATACTGAGATGAAACGTAGTATCCGTTATATTTTTCACTTTGAAACGGTGTTACAGTGATTTTAGCTATAAATGAAATATATCAAATCGTTATGTATTGTCAGTGTTATTATAGATCCAACTAAGTATTTTGGGTGTGAATTGGGTGCGCAAACCAATTTTGACATGAAAAATGAACGTTTTATCGTGAACGGCGAGCATGACGCGGCCAAACTGCAAGATATTCTCGATGGTTTCATCAGAAAGTTTGTGCTATGTGCAGCATGTGAGAATCCTGAAACTACTTTGGTAAATTACTTGCCATATTGCTCCATTTTTTTCTCTCTTGTCCTAGCTCTTTAGATTTTTTAATGTAGTTCAAGGACTCGATTTCCAGATTGTGAAAAAAGGCCAGATCCATAGTAAATGCAAAGCGTGTGGAAATACTTCACTCATCGATCCTAAGCATAAGCTGTCGACATTTATCATGAAGAATCCACCGAAAGTGGATGAGAAGGAAAAGAAAGAAGGTGGTAACAGTGGTTCGACAGACAATTCGGTAATAGATGGGGAAATTCCGAGTGATAAAGATTTGGTAAATGAGCTTATTGAAGGCTTTTATATTTCCAGTTCTGTTGAACTCTGTTCATATGTGGAATTTTATTCCATTTTTCACCGGAATTCTTGTAGAATGGAAGTGCTTCGGATAATCTTGATGATGATTGGGCAGAGCCAATTGAAGATCCGGCTGGAGGAGTTTCTGCACAAATTGGTAAACTGATAATTAGCAGAGATCTCGACAAGCCAATTGAAGAGCGGCTTGATATGCTTCATCAATATTTCCTGAAAGCTAAAGCCGATGGCACACTTCAGGTAATCGAGTATATTAATTTTTTTTGTGAAGATTCTTGAAACTTTTTTTCAATGGTTCATCAGCACTGCATGAGTACGAATACTCTCGTTAAGCTCTTACATTTCACACTGAATCTGTTTTTTTAAAAACTAATACTGACAAGAAAGCCGTTCTCTATCGATCCCGACTAATTTTCGAAATAATTTTACATTTTATAGTTGAAAACTTGTAATAAAAGGTGTACGTTGCAGAATAGTAAGAAATTGCTAAATGAAGCGGAAAGATTGGAGCTGAAATCAAAAGCTGCTCTTTTGTTGGCCGATGTTTTATTTGATACAAACGTTGTCAGTCAGATCGTGGAATATCGGAACATCCTTCTGCGTTTTACTGTTAACGACCACAAGGTTTGTTTCATCACTTTTTTGGAATTGTTTACTGTTCTTTAAAGTTTGTCATTTTTCTGCAAGATTAAAATTGAAAAATCGAAACAGGTTTTGCCTGAAATTTCTTAATCCTTTTCAACTTCAGGCTCAACGCCATCTTCTAGGTGGCATTGAACAACTCATTTCGAAACATTTCGACACTTTGTTTCCGAAATCAGCCCACATCATTAAAGCACTTTATGACAACGATGTGGTGGAGGAGGAAGTTCTTCTTGCCTGGGGTGAAAAGGTATGCAGAGGAACTTTGTTTGTAAGATTCTAAAATTTCAATCTTTTAAAAATTTAAAATAACAAACAAGATTGTACAGATTTATCTTTTTAAGCCGACCAAGAAGTATGTTAAGAAGAAATTGTGTGCGGAGATAATCGGTAAAGCGCAGCCTGTTTTGGATTGGTTGAAGAATGCAGAGGAAGATGAAAGCGACGATGATGATGAAGACGGAGCTATTGAGGTATGATTTAAAGTCTTTATCTTTTTTGTTTGAAAAATCTTCAGTTTACTGCTTTAGATCCGGAGGGAAGTTTTTCGAAGGATTTTTTGTTATCTGTATGAAACAGCAGGGGGATAATGTACCCCGTAGTATGTTCGCTATTCGTCATTCCCGTGACTTCCTTGCAAATCACTGCCTGTTTTATATCGTTTATGGGAAAGGTCGTATACCTTGACTGCATTTACCAATAGCTGTGTCTGCCTTTTTTGTTTTTGGTTGTGGCCTGTTATTTCGCTTCCATGTGTCTGTTTGACTTACATGAACAACTTGGTATTAGCTAATTAGTGTTGATCAGAGAAATATAGATCACGGAAGAAAATATCAGTCGATATTTGGGTGGACATTACTGCTAGCCTAAACGTTCATTTTGGAAGTTGGGAATAAAATGGAATTTAATCTAAAGTTCCCCTTGGTCTGAGCTTAAATTGCGAATTTCTTTCTGCTTGCAGTTTGATGATCGCGCCCGAAAGGTGGGGACAGTTGAAATGGATGCGGCAAAGACGACGAATGGCACTGTGCAAATTGAGAAGATCAAAACTGGGGATGATGGTGAAGAGGTTGACATTGACGATATTTAGAACTGATTAATCTTTCGTCATGAAAGGTGTGTGAAAATTGTCTGTTTTTCTTGCCATTAGAAGGTAAAAATTCTCCATGTTTTCTTATTTAGATATGCAGAGTTCTATTTGAGTAATGAGATAAATTCCATTATTGTATGCCGTACACACCATCTTCGACTTTCTGTCCTTTTTGTACTATTCTTTTTTTTCATTTGGTACTCTAATGATTTTTTTCGGCACTCCATATTCTTACCATTGATCTAAATTTTGTCCGGAAAATGTCTTTTTTTGAAATGTCATTACTGAATTATTTGCTTCCATATCCTTTTTTATTTAAACTGTATGAGGAGGAATCTGACGAAAGAATTGAGCTGTTCTATGAAGCGATGAAGTTTTTCCCACGTTGATGGCAGAATAATCAGATTTTCAAAATCTGTTTTTAAAGTCACTGATTTTCCTACACTTTCTGGATTCGAGTGACGAATAATAACACTGTTGACAAGAATGCAGGATCTAGTTTGTTACGATATCCAAATAAAATGAGCAGTCGATCCTTATGGATAGAATGGTCGTGGGCCTCGGTTTCGTTCATGATATCGCGTCGATGAGGCAAGCGGGTCCGTCTCCCGGTCATGCGCTCTTTGAACTGGGAGTGAACAGTGAAAAGTTGATTGCGGAAATTCTGAATAGGCCTCTTTAGCACAGTATTTTGGCGAAGCCCTCTTGAGGTTCGAAGAACAAAAATACAGAGGAGTGCGACTGTTTCTACGCTTAGCAGATTGGCAGAGTTTTTAAACTGAACAAGAATGAGGTGGAGATATGTTGGGACTTTACACTTGTTAAGCCAAGCTCTAATCAATTGGGCTGAAGCTGTGTAGGGCTGTTTCATCGAATGGATTTCATCCAGTGAGTATCACGGATTCCCGGTATCTCCAGAAACATCTCCGGGCCCCCATATTTCGTGCCCCCGTCAGATTAGTAATACCGGGTTTATTAACAAACGGATGAAACATAGCAAAGACCAAGAAATCGAAGGTCGAATGCATTGAAAGAATATTCACTAAAAATGAAACAACCAGGCAGGGGGTAACATCAGTCATCTTTCAGAATGAACATCGTCAGAAATTCACAGGTCAAATGTAAAAAAAAAAGAAACCAATAAAAAAAATGTAAAAACAGTCTTGGTACAGTTATGAATGGGCAAATTGGTGGATGGTCTTTTTCGGACGATGTAATAAATTACGACACAAAATCAAAGTATTGGCGAAGTATTGTGTATTCTTCCATGCAATTCGTTTTTATCGCTTCCCGTACCTCTTTAGACATGAACAAAAGTTTCATGGAACAAATAGCAGGATCAAGCTCAATATCTTCCTGAAAGGAACCCCAAAAAATTAAATTAAGGACAACTTCGTTTATAAGATGCTTTAATAACAAAAACACAACCATTGTTTTCAAGGATTCACAAGAATCCAGAAATTGTAATCAGCTGATGAAAAGGAGATGGATGAGTTACAAAGGAAATGGATAACCATTTTATATTTTAATTTTTAAAGGAAGAAATAGAAGGCAAACAATTATTAAATTCATGACATAATTTTTACTTCTGAGAAAAATCATATAATCGAAAAAATAATACTGCTTAATGACTGATCAAGTTTGGATGCCAGTTCTCTTCAAGGGGTCATCGGCTTTGAAATAAGGCTTAAACTCGATAGATATCCTTAATACGACCTTTTATGCAAGTAAAATAATAACTAACAGATGTCTTAAGTGGAAAATCTGAACAAATACAAATACCTTTTGCGGATCATTTCTACCACGATGATCCTCCCCGTGCTCCTTTTTTTCTCCTTCATAAATCGTCAGAGAATGATTTTCATTTTCCCGCTCAAATTCGAAGCAACACCTGTATTCATCATCAATAACTGATTTATCTACATCAAGGGATAAATCACCATTGAGAAAGGTAACTGCATTCTGAACGGATGCACTATTTGTTGAAGCATTCTGAAATCTGCGTGAAAAACAAAAGCTAAAACCAAATTAACACTGATTGCAAAGAAAACCCTAATCTTAAAAAAAAGCGGAATCTGATAAAGCAAAAAATGTTTAAATTTAACATGAGAAACATCTTTCGTTTAATTAAATAAGTATGATCAAATTAAAAAAGCAAGCGACAGAAGTTACTCGTAAATTAAAGGCCTAACATTAATCAACTTGCATGGTACTACGAGGACTCCCCCAAAGGAGGTTGGCGATGATACCTATATAAAGAATGGATAAATCAATGAAACTGAAATTATCAGAATACTTAATTAATGCTTGACTCCTTCTAATTAATAGCCACTCCAACTTCAACTGTTTCTAATATCAGTCTCACAATCAACGCAACATGAAGGGAGTAAAGACAAAGAAAGAAAAAACCAACAGACCGAAGGTATGGCAATAGCATCGATTTCTGCAGGATCAGCATTCATTTCTACAGCTCTTGCATGAACCGATTCTTTTCTATGGACAGGTCCCTATAATTTAAATTACATATGTTTAGTATCAAATGGTCAATAAAAGTAAAAGCAAATTTGATATCAATTATTACATGCCAAGTTGTTTGGAAGGATCATAATTTTAACAGTCCTAGGCATTTCGAATTATGGAAAAAGAGTTTCAGATACACACTTTCACTAAAATAAAGGTGATGTCCCAACTTGGAACATATTTTTCAGTTCTGACGTGTTTTATATCCATCTCGATTATATGACCACGTATATCATCGATATGCGCTCCAAAGCAATGTTTCTTATCGAGGACTTCACCAAAAAAGGGCAATGGTGGAGGTTGCCGACTTCTATGCTTTTCTGATATCATTAATTCAACCGTAACCTGAAAATAAATAAAATTATTTTAAAAATTATACCTACGGTTACAATACTTTTTAGCTGTTAAACATTTTTGAAAAATAAAAAACAGTAATATTTCTTTAATTTACCATTTCTTCAACACGATGGCTGAATCAGAAAACTTCGAAATAAAATTTCCAATATTTTAAATAGTACATTACCACAGCAGTATTGTTTTCTTTACGCGCAGGGTACAGACTATCCATTTTTTGCCAGTTGTTTATACAAAAGGGTTTCCCACCCGGATGTGCTCGTTGTTTTCTCCTAAAACGTAAGTTAAGAAAAAAAAAGGCGAAAAAAGAAATTGTAAGAAAAATAATAAGGCATGCAGCGTTAGGATCAGTTATATTAAGAAGCTTTGCTGTTCCACCCATTACTTGTTTAACTTATGACGATAGAGTACTTTCAGTTTTGCCTGCTCTGCTGAATGTTGTACTTATTACTACAATTACAAATATATTATTACTACAAATATAAGAAAAAATACAGTTTATTAGATGCATATACTAATAAATAAAAAATGTTGCAGTACATACAAACAGCATAATTTTAATAACAAACTGCCTAATGCTCGGATACTCTGATTGAATGAAAATATTTAAATGAATTTTGAATCATAAAATATAATCGTTAGTAACTTTTGTCCAAAGAAGTCCAAAATTGGGAACTCACCTAATCCGAAATCGAATCCAGTCACCGATGCGTAAACCATCGTTATAATGATATATAATTTCAGCCAATGAAGGTGTCCATACGAAATAACCTGTACGGCATTCACCAACAACGACGCCAACATAAGAAATATCATCAAGTATTTGTGTGTTTGAGTTAAGCTTAGGTTTTGATGTAAGAGCGCCCTTCATCTTTAACAAAGTATGAACTGCACAAATTGATTTTTTTATGCAATAATATTCGGGTTTACAAAATAGATTAAACAGCAATATCAAAGAAGGAATGTTCTTTGAACCTTCAAAGATATGGAAAAAGCATACACTGCCTAGTTTTAGTAGGCTGGGTCTTATAAGACAATGAAAGTCTTAATAGTTTTTTGTGTGTAATGAAGGAAGCCAACAGCACCACAGCTAACCTACTAGACTCAAAAATGGGTGGAAGAAGCAAAAAGATATGGCACCGTAGACTTGTTTCAGTGCACTCACAAAAAAAGAGTATTTTCAAAGTCAATTTGAATTTGAATCAGAAAGAAATCTTTCGTTGCGAAGTAATACAAACCGGAAAAGTACGGGAGTAAGTTATCCTCCAATACGGATCATTTGGAATTGTTGCTTGCATTGTTGTACACCAGACAGTATATTTTTGGAAAGCATCCAAAGAAATATTTGACAGTCTGTTCGCATCGTCTACCACTGCTCCGAGAACAACGGAAAACATTACTTGATGGCCTTTCGCTGAGATTTTATTAGTGAGTACAACTTCTGTCTCAACCTTAAAACAGCAGATTTAAGAAGGAAATTTCTTAATTAAAACCTTAAAACTTCAAAAACAAAGTACTATATCTTCTACTTTTTTCTTCGTGTTATATTTATTACACCACATTACTAAGAATACTTCTATGTTAACTTTTCGTTTTTTTCTTTTTTTTTTTTGTTCACTTTTGTATAATAACATGTTTGGGAGAAACATGGAAGGAGCAAAATACGGATATTATCTCATTAACACTCTTTTCCATTCGTTGATTAGGGTTTTGGAGAAATAATTTCATTATAGAGCACGAATAAGTGTAAACTATAAAAAAGTAAAAATGTACTTCTAATTGACCGTTAAATATATGAGAGGCGCATAATTTCCGGGATTTCATGGCATTGAGCACTGTCCAGAATTGATTTTTTTCATGTATTTTGAAACTAAACCAATCCCCAAGTGCTGGAACTGCTTCAAATCTATAATTTTCACGCAAAGCTAAATAGATTTCAATATTCCAAAACGTGTATACGTGTAATATTGTTGCAGTCTAGCGACACATTAATGTATTATTGATGTTCATAAGAGCAAAAAACGAACATTCTCAAATCAACGGATAACATCTGACCATTCCCTCGGTTTATATCTTGAATATAAACTAATGCCAACGATTTCTGGATATCGACGAAGCAAACGATACCATCCCTTCGAATTTCATTTATACAATCCGGCATTTGAAATAAACGAAAATTGGTACATATGAACTAACTGTATATTCGATAATCATATCATAAATGATTAATATGTCATCAAAAGTGCGATCAAATAAAGTGGAAAACCAAAAGTTAATAAAACTGTCCATGTAATACATACTAAGACCTGATGCACATTCCACGTAGTAACCGGTTCTTTTCGGTTTTTTTTCATACGCTTTAACTTTACTTCATACGTTTTTCCGACTCCAAAAGTACACACTGCTTTTTCCAGGATGCCATCCCGATCTGTAACTGGTCCTATCCAATCCGCTGTTAAATTATTCATCGGCCAATGAGAGATGAATATAGTTGATATAAGCTGTAAAGAAAAAAAGGATAACAGTAGGAAAAATACTGTCATAACATCATAAGAAGTTTAAAAACACCCAGTTCCTCACAAAAAAAGAAAAAAAACCTAGTCACAAAGGTCTTTCCCTTACAGCAAGGACAAATTCGTGTGAAGAATAAAAAAATATAAATCAGCAAACGTTGCTACAATTTTAACAAATACTTGGCCTTCAATGCATTTCTCTTGGTGCTACTGAAGACAATGCACGATGATGCGTCTAATAAATGACCCCCTGTCACGTGAACTGTCATCAAATGGATGCTTCAAGCACTAAAAGTAGCTTCAAGCATCCCGTTGATGTCTTGATTTCAAGACATCCCTTTGAAAGAGGATGCTTCAAACACTAACAGAAGTTTTAACAAGATAAATTTATTTACGCGAACCATTAGATTATTGAATAGCGGTACACATTTTAAGATGGGATCTGTCGTCGTCCACTCGATAATACAAAAGTTGATATTTATATGGACAAAATTTTCAGGATGCGAGCTAGAAAGAACTTTGTTGTATTAGAATCAAAAAATTATGTAAACTAATAAATCAACTAGAGTTACTTCTGCAGAACACTCTGGAAATAGTTGGACAGTATCAAAGAAAGACCGGAAGCACTGAAAGTTCCAAGAAAAAAAATGAAGTAAAACCTCAGAAGTGAAGAGCTGACGATTAAAAGGCCCTAACACCAACAACCGTCCGAGAGGTGAGATATTTGAAGTCCAGCTTTTCTGAGACTATGCAACTACAGAAGTGAGAAACAAAAACATGAACTTACTCGGCCGTGAATTTAATCCATCCTCCAATCACCAAATTTTCATGATTTTCACATACTCCCTCTCCGAGGGCTGGTGTCCAAACAAATGCAAATCTTATGGCTTTACTAACCACTATACCTATTAGAGGGCCCATAAGCTGCAAAAAATCTCATTATTTTATAATGTAAAGGAAACTCAAAATTTTGGTTTCACATTGTTAGACATAATCTTTTATATTGTTTCGCATAAAATGCGATATGAATATGTTGTTGCGGTAGAAAAGCAAATATTGCTAAAAGAAGGACCTTTTTGTGATCTTCGTACGAACCAAAGCAAAACTTAAATGCTTTGTAAAACAATGAGAATAAGATAACAGGATACAACAAATGATATATAACAGTTCATGTATATTAGGATATAAATACATTTCTCAGAACTGTTTCTCAATATGACATTACGTTATTCAACAGGTAGAGATGTAGAGAGTAGAATGCGAATGAGGCAAACAACTAGTTGCTTCTAGAGAAGTCTAAGTAACAAATGCTGACACAGCAGCTTAGACTAATTTAAAAAATAAGTCACCTCCAAGGGTCGCTCAGAACTCATAATTAATGATCAACTTCGAAGTTCTTTATACAAAATATTTTTACTTGTATATCATTTGCTGGATGTTTATTGATTGGAATAAGTTCAGGAATTTGATTGGATGGAACAAACCAATATACACCGCTTTCCTGTTCATTCCACCGCTGGTCTCGAGGAATCCTAAAAGATGACATCAGTAGAACAAATAAATATTCAAAAACACATTTACATATCTACCCATCCCACTCAGCCTTGTTAACACAAGACAACCACCAGCGAAATACTTCATTTTGTAGATCTTGTGAATTGTACCATGAAACTAATGTGAAAACGTACTATAGATATGGGGCAAGGAAGAATGCATTGAAGGAACGAGTGAAAACACTTTTGAAATTCAGTTTTACCAGAGTCTTAATGGAATAAATCGGTCTATTTTAAACACAAACAATTGAGAAGCAAAAATAAAAAGAATGGAAAAGACCTCTCCACGTAAACCCTATAAATTCGATCTATTATAACGCCAGTGAATGGTGTAAATACAGCCACACGGTCAAAATGCTTCGACTGAATAATGATGCCGTGACCAATCTTCTCGTTATCGTGCCTGAATATCACTTCAGTTCTGACCTAAATGAAAAGGTAGGGTTTTCATAATGTAAACCATGCCAAATTTCAGAGAATGGGAAAACATTTGAATGGTAAACTACAAAAGTAATATTTATAGTTGTAGGTCAGATTATCACGTTTGATCGAAGTGGCAGTAAAAATATGAAGTGAGAAAACGAGTCGCAATATGATAAACAGTATTGCGCAAAGAGTGCTATCCACTTTTTGCAGTCAATAATTTATTACCTAAATGAATAACTGATCAAAAATGAAGCAAGGATAGAGAGTTTGATCACGAAAGTGTCAATTAAGAAAAGTTCCTAGGATGTTTTGCTTCCGCTGTATAGTCCAGGTGGAGAATTTGAAAAGAAAACGAAAGAAAGCTTACAAACGATGATTCTTTGCGTCATGCAAGCTTGTGTTTGAAAAACGGAAGCCGAAAGCATTATCATACTAAAAATTCGGACAGCAATGTAATCGAATATAAAAGCTACCTGTGTTACACCAATCCTGAGAACCCGAGTTTGTAGAAGGGGAGTGATTCTGTGAACTTCATCGGTTGTTAGCGACATTGATAACCAATCACCAAGATTGAAATGTCTTGACCGATAAGCAAAACTTATTTCTTTCTCGCGTTTCATAGCCTCGATCCATACCCGTGCTAAGCGATCATCACAGTATGTTACGATTCCTTCCAACGACTGTTGTCGCTCTACGGATCTTGATTTTGTCGCCATACCAAACCCTGGAATTGTTGCCTATTCTGATCACATCCGTAATATTCCAATTAGGATAGATAAATATGAAGATATTATGGTAACAGATCACAGAATTCATATATCAAAAAAATTTTCATATATTTTTGTGAAATATCTGCTTATGCTTGAGCTCAAAATCAACCAGAACAATATGATCAGATCTGAAGTCATTGTAAAAGCTTTATTCGGAATACACGAAAGTCTTTAATGAAGAGTTTTTTGGCATATAATATGAATGCTTTTTGTCTCTTATTAGTATGGAACAGAATTCCGGATTCATATAGCACATTCCTGATATGCCGATCCGCTAAGAGAAAACGTCACTTCGGACAGGATTCAATTACCTAATCCCTCACTTCTAAGTACATTCGGGAAGCAAAATCCTCTCCACTCAATACCCTTCACACAAATCCATTCAATTGTCTCTACTGCCAATGTCTCCCCTCTTACAGAATGTTTACATACATACATACATATACATACACACATATACATACACACATATACATACACACATACACATACATACACACATATACATACAGAGAAGCGCACTTGTCATGACGTATTGAATACGTTTCCAAACAAACATTAAATGGGCAGTGAGATGCATGATGGAGATAGAAGGGATGAAGATTTGAATGTGTAAGAGAGAAAATTAATTTAATTTAGGTGATGAAGTAAATTTGTATACGGTGGATGAGGAGAGAAATGAAGAAGTAACGAGTGGCAGCAGTGGATTTATACAGAGATTAAATTACTAAAGCAATTTGCGCACAGGATGAACGCGGTGTTTTAGGTACGAGGCACTGTTTACTATAAGACTTAAAACTTTTAAATGGATTACAAACTGGGAAGGATCAATTAACGTAGCGATTTTCAACTTAATAGGTATATTTCATGATGAATGGACAGTTATTCTCCTAAACGACCAAATTTTTCTCTTTCAATTTGCCTCTGCTGACATTTTGACCTCTGCGACACATTTCATGGATTAAAAACGGAAATGAAATCAGTTTAAAATGGAAATTTTTAGTATTCTTGGAAATATCTTGCAAATTTTTCTTTGTTTCCACATCAAACTTGAATAATTAAACCATTAGATGAATGAAACAATATCAGCGTAACATAATCATTAAAAACTACTAAACACAAATTAACGCTCAAAGCTAACTCCAAAAACATCGTCACAAGATGAATTCGAAAACATCAGTTCAGTGAATAAAAGAAAGGAAAAAATGTCCACCTGCTATTTGCAGGGTTTATATGTAAATCTTTCACGAATTAGTTTCACGATTATAGGGATTAAGCGCCTTTGTTAACTCATGCTGATAAAACATTCTGTTAGCAGACATCGATGAAACGGCGCCTTGTTAACGCATATTAGTGTAGGGTTCTATGGGTACATTGCTAAACAATGAGCATATGTACAATTCTATGCAGTGATAGTACCCTAATCATATAGAAAAGGGTTTGGATGATTTTTAATCTTATCACGATCCAACATGGCATATGCAAATTAGTACATCACTACACATTCACTCATGATTACTTTTTTTTTATCACGGAACTTTTCGTTCATTCGCGATACTATCCATTTAATTCAATAAATGCTAAATCAAGGTGTACGTCATTCATAGTGTAAGGGTTGATTAATTTGGATTGCATACTGCTTACTTCGATGTCAGAATCTTAACTCTAAAAAGTAGGTGGAAAGAAAAACGCCATATTTCATTCCTGAGCTATCATGAACACTGTCAATTCATGAAAATTGATAAATTTTCCAAACTAGAAAAGGAAAGTGTGATTTTTTATTACCAATGACTCATCGTCATCTGTCTACAAACAAATTCAATCGTTGTTATTGTATATGTGAATTCAACTAGTGATTCATCTCGACATATTACTGGTACATGGTAGAAAATTTCAATGAGTGGATGGATTAAAGTTTTCAAATGGTACAAAAATCTGCTCTTTGGTTAGACTGAATCAATTCAATAGTTTTGAAATATGAAACTAAAATTTCATAAAAACCTTTTTCTTTTCAGCCTTATTCTATCACGTCATACCCTTAATTTACATATTTTGATTTTTGGTTCTTTCTCATCTGAAAAATATTATGTTGTACGAAAGTCTTCGAAAGAGAGAGAGGGAGAGAGAGAAGGAGATGACAGGTGTAATATGTGAAAAAGGATGGCGGAGAATAAGGAGGAGTTTCATTCTGTCCTGATGGACAAGAGGAGGAAGCGGTGGCAGAGGGGGGGGGGGGAGGAGAGGGGAGGGAAGGGAGAATTATCGACTGCATGGAGGCTACATCAGGGGCAGACCAACCTCAACGATGTTCTTACACTATTCCCCCGCGTTCTCCAGTAGATTTTTCATTCATATAGTTGACATTTCAACATATTCAATATATCCATTTGACCTCTCGGCAACCGCACTCTCATCACCTATATGCAGTGCGGCAGCGCGCCCTGTTTATAACTTATCCTTTCAGCTACTGGCCATACTCTATGGATCAATTATAAACTTTCCCTCGGTTTTTTTTCATTTTTTTACTTTTCTAAACGTTTGAAATCCAAATGTTGGCTTTAAATAGGCTTATATTTCTCTCGAACTATCTCTCCTCCAGCTTATTCTTTTCAAAAAATCGACATTTTTATATGACATCTTTGACCTCTGGCGCATATTTATGCGCACGCATACGGGTGAGATCAAAGATCATCAGAAAATCTCGAGGCTAAAATGAGATTCTGTTGGATTCTTTTGTTGTCCTCTTGGTTTAAGCAAACTCGTGTTACCATTAGAAAAGAAGAGATTTCTCTGATCATTAAAGCTCATATTGTGATACGTACTAAAATAGTACGAAGATAGCATACGTGATTCTTAGAAACAGCAAACGGCAATTTTCCAGTTTGATTTTTTTATTCATTCTGCATCCTTAATCCAGATAAAGAGATGCGAATAATGAGGGGAATGGAAGGGAAGAGTTTCTAATGTGTTTGTTAAGTCGAGATGACCTCGCCTTATTGATGACACTGTTTGTCTACTTGTGTGTATGTTTCCTGTGTATAGCACTTCAACGGTTATACCAACATTATCAGAAACGTTATGGGAGAATTCCCTACTGTGCTTCAAATCCTTCCTGCACACCTTTCACGGTAATTCTTGTAATCCGGAATATTTCATAAGGATTGAAAGCTCCTTCATTTTACTTTTAATGATTTCAATTGAAATTACGGGAACTTTTAGAAAACTCTGTGTGGTACTTTTAAATGCTTACTTTTATCTCCTATTTTATTGATTGCAGGATTTTCATTTTAATGAACTGAGATGAAAATTTTCAATTTCTTCTTACCTTCACTCACTGTGCACGCAATATTTGGCTGTATATGTGTTTCCCCTGGCAAAAAAAATAATTGTCTTGCTGACAGGCCATTCACCTTCTGCATTACCTTTTTTAACAAAAAATTCAGGTGTAACTGTGTAAAAAAAAAATTTCCGCTCGATTTTGAAAATTATTTCTGCATTTCCTAAACCGAACCAGAAATGGTTGGTATCATTTTTTTAAATAATTCAAAGCAAAATATTTTGCATTCTTATAGTCAGGTCTTCACTAAAACCTAAAACTAAATATAATTGAAACCATTCGCATGAAAATTTAATCAACCAGTGAGTAAGTCCATTAATAAAAAGCTAATTAATCCAATAATATGTACCAAAAAGAAACTAAAACAGGAAAAAGATTTTTACCTATTACAATATAATGAAGAATTTAGTTTAAAAGATGACTAAAATAACCTCTTTTTTTTGCAATAATCTTCAATTGTTTATTGAAGAAAGCGAAGGATCAGTTACAATTTCCTTCAGTTTTTCTAAACAAACTTTTAGCATGATCTTTGAAATGATAACAGTTCTATACAGCTGACGATTCCTTTTTACCAGTATCAATCTTTGTTCTTTCCTTTTGTTGCATTTCTTTTTCACTTTTCACCTTCAAGTATGGTACTTCACATTCATCTTTCCCACCTACCCGTTATCAATATCATGTTATCATAACTGTTATGCGAGAGTCTTTAATGATTAAATAGGAAATAATTGGTGAAGAAGACAAGAAATAACCATTTTACTTTCCTTCCTAACGGAATATAAATATATCCTTCCATTTAGGAAACTCTTAAAAAGTTGAGAAACGCCCTCCCATTAGCTTTTATCGCCGGTAGATGGATTTTCATATTCTAAGTGTAATAGTAACATCAGAAGTTATTCAGTATGGTTAAATAATTTGAATCATGTTCTTTGGTCACTTTAGGTCTCATTTATGATAGCCATGAATTAAATTTGTGAAATTTCCGTTCTCTTTTATAATAGCCCTTCGCAGATTTTAAATTACAAATGATTTCTCACCTATCACATCTTTGATAAGGTTTAAGTCATGAAATAAATTTTAGAAAAATTGCAATAGTTAATAATGACGTCATTTTATGACTTCTCTATTTTAATAAGGAGCGCAGACTATCTATTTGTTGCTCCTGACAATTGTTGGTTCCTGTGCAGAAGGCGCACTCTAAAAAATCGGTTTGAGATTGGGGACCGTTTTCGAGCAACATGTTGTTACTTCTGGAAGGAGATTTATTCGTAGGTGATAATTCGATGAGAATTTTTTGAATAATTTTTTTTCAATTGTTCCTTTGCTTATCGGTGTGATTTCCACTGTTCCCAAGTGGCACGCTTGGATGTGAAATGAGAATTAGTACCACGGATCATTCATTATCAAAGGGTAGTTGGTTTTCAAGATTGTCTTGAAATAGAATCAAGCATAATTAAGCGTTGTCACTTGCCTGCAAAAAATATACATGGGAAAAAGGTTAGCTAGGGATTTCATTAAATTAATGGCAGAGGTTTCGGTTCATTAATTGTTAGCTTAAATTAATTGATTGGTCGAAGTTCAGTATCAATTACTATTTGATGGATAATGTATCATTTTAAAGCATTAGGAAGTTACCACTTATCCCAACATTTTCAACAAAGGGATCATCATTCTGAAGAAATAGAATCGCTATAGATTTATTTGATTGTATATGGCTTTATTGTTTCTTCTGTTTCTTTATTTGTGAAAGTATTAGACGTTCCAGAAATGATAACATTCATACAGTTCGGTACATTTTCAGGTCTTCCTGCAATGGTTCACGGTTGTGGCAATCGAATGGTGAAATTTTTATTTTTCACTGCAAATTTACTGATCTGTTTATTTGGCGCACTTATTTTTGGCTTCTCATTATGGGCTAATTTGGATGAAGATTTTGCGCTAAAGCTGGAAGAAACGAGAAAAATACATAAAGAAGATTTTAATGTGCTGGCAAGAGTAAGCATATTCAAATTCTTTAGTTTTAAATTCATCCTGGCCTAATTTTTGAGTATAAATTTTTGTACTATTTGCAGTATTTTACGGCTTTAATCATCGTTCAATGATGAAAGAAGACAGCTTTAGATACGTTAGGCCATTGAAATTAGGATATTATTAAATTTTATTTAGGTAAAGACGGGGCGGTTTTGAAAAGGAAAATAGTCATTTTCTTAAGAGGACTTTGAATCATTTCAGTATCAAGCAGCATTTTGGGTATTGGTTGTTATTGGGGCATTCTTGTTTCTCGTTGGTTTCCTCGGCTGTTGTGGTGCAATGTGTGAAAATATCATGTTGTTGACTGCAGTAAGTTTCATATTTGCGTATTACCAAAGAGTTCATATCTCTCACTTAGCCAAAGTTCTATTTGACACGCAGCGTTATGTTGATCAAACAGCCTGCACCTTTAGTTCTTTGTTCAAAATTTCACTTCTTATTCCTTGGTGTTAAAGCTCTTGAGTTCTTGTCTACCCAACAAAATATTTGCAATCAAGATATATCAGTTTCAAAGTTTTCATCCAACTATCTGAAATGAAGCCAAATGAAGAAACCTTAACTGAGTTATACTACTACTACTACTACTAAACTGAGTTATGATGCTTGTCCTAATCCCATCTGAAATCAGTTTTCGCGTAAATCTTATATTCTTCTTAATTATTTACAGAATTTCTTAAATAAATAAGAATTTTCTTTCAGTTTTTCATCATAATACTAATTCTTACAACAATCGAAGTTGGCGCGGTAATATTTGCAATCACTAGCAAGGGCCAATTTAAAAGTGTTTTACATGTAAGTGCTTTCTTTCTTTTAACAATTATTTTTGTTTCAGGAAATAATTTACTTGATCGTAAGGCTTATTTTCTTGAACCTGAACAGACTTTTCGACTTACACTAAGTCCACTTCATCTTCAAAATGCTTTTAGATTTTCACGTGGAAAGAAACCATATAATCATCAAAAAATGATGGAGTTATTACTTTTAAACGAAATACAATATGCGATTAATCAAGTATTCAAAATTTTTAATGGTTATCCGTACTAATAATTATACGTAAAGTGATCTGAAAAACAAATATTTGTTTGCGTCCTCATCAGGCTACTGATGAGACGAAGTCGAAACAGACGTCGTTCGAGTAATAATGACCAGGACAGAAGTTTAAGCTAAAATATGAAAATAAACAATGTACATTGATAGCAGATTCAATTACAGTAAATCGCATATTGGCGAAGCAAATAATTTCAAAGTTTTCCAATTAAATTAGACTTACCCCGGCTAGGGAAATATCAGAAGCGCAATAGAAGTTAGGTTACTTTACTTGATCATTGGTTATCAATTACAGAAAGTATTGTTTCCCAACTACACCACATGATTGAACATCAGCATTGGAACATGTAGGCCATGAAAAAATATAACGTCCAAGCAGTTCGTTTTATCAACTTGCCAATCAAATTAGCTTGAATTGAATGCGAGACTTTCTTTCAGACATATTTGAAATTTTTTAGAATACCCTTACTTTCTTCGCCACGGTAAGATTTGATTACCGGGCATCTGAGTAGTTGCAAGTAATAAATTTTACCAACTAGCAAACTTCGAGTGCTCTTTCGAGCTGTTCTTAAAATTAAAAAATGAGTAAGAAAAGTATAATACCTGCAAATACTAAGCTGATTACCTACCAGATTCATTTCTAACATTTTGGAATTGCAATTCAAAAAGAGATTGACACCTTATCATAGCAAAATCCTGAGTTACTCCAACACTACGCATTGCTTTCTGTGAAATTAATTTCCAGAGTATAAATTCCCTGTAAGTTCAAATAATTCGTCCTGTTATTTGCCAAAAAGTATTTTGCTTTTATCCAAGCTATCCGACATCGAACGCAAGGAAACGGTTTAGTTCCAATACCGTATGCAGTTCAGAATATTTCAGAATTTTATTTTCTCAAAAGGCTCTTGGTGTCAGCCATTCTACCATTGATTTTAGTCCACTTATTAATCAGATCATCGGTGGACATTACTTTTCGTTTTCTTCTTTATTTTACCAGAAATTACTTTTGAAGTCCATATGATTTCAGATTTGAACTACAGTTAGGATTACAAAGTTATAGCAATTCATCAGAAAATCTAATGAGGACGAAGAATTCTCTTATCTGGAGAGGTGATTCTGATAGATTACCGCTTCTCCTTCCGCTATCCCTCCTATCGTACAAAAATTTGTTTATTTCAGAGGCTACTATCAGAAGCTGGTAAAGCAGAAGACAAATACTTGCCGAATTTAAAACCCATCGAAGATCTGTTTTATTGCTGTGGTGCAACGCAAGAAACGATGAACCGGTACATGGAACATGGCTTATGTGAAGGAGAATTGAAGAATAAGGTCCGTTTTCTTGAACATTTTTTGAGTTTCCTGAGAAGATTCTGGACATTCTTGAGCAGAAATCTTCCAGGGTATTTTTGCTAGGCAGAATCTCAGTACAAAGTAGCAGTGATGAAGAAGGGTTGAGCTGGGGATATCGATTCTTTTCCAGCTCTTTCTAAGATTAGATCGTTGTTTTTTAATAAAGTCAGACAAAAATACAGCTTTGACGAAGAAGTTAGATTAAGGATAATATCGAGATCTCTCAATCCTCCTGCCACAAAGTCATATTGATACAACTCAAAATAGCGCTAGTAATATGGTTTCTTTTATAATGGGATATGGAATGGAACAGGGGACTAAATTTCACATTTCTGGTAACGGCATACTAATTGCTGTCAATTTACTTTAATGTTACCTGTGCATGGAAAGAGTTACTTCGTAATGCTGTTTTAAAGTATCTGTTTTCAGCCGGACTGCTTCACGGCAATATCGGATTATTTGGAGTCAACCGGAGAAGCGGTCGTCGTATTTGCATTCTTTTTGCTAATTATCGAGTTGTTTGCTTTAGTTTCCACATGTATACTATGTAAAGCATTCCGTTATGGAAGGCCATACTACTATGCTTAATTTTTTTCACTTTCACTAATTATGTATGCCACTGTTAATCAACTGAACATATATTTAAAACTGTTCCTGTAAATACCATGCCTTTATCCAGAAATTGATCATATTCTGGACACAATAACCTCATTCCAGATTCACTCAGTCTTTTTGCTTTTTTTTGTTGAAACTATTCAGGACCTCAAATGAACATCCACAGCCTTAAAATTCCATTCAAGTCTGGCAATATTGTTTCCTCTCTTGCTATGTATAATATATTGAATTTGTTTACTTTGATCACCTTGAAAATAAATAGATATTATATACTATTCGGTTTTTATGCATTATCAATAACTCTACGATTTCTAATGCCTTCCTTTGAGTAGTAGTTTCCTTGCAGAAAGGAGCCCAACTGATGTGACATGAAAACGCCTCATCTTTTGGAAATAAATTCCACTGCATGTTATTGATCCTGATATTACCCATTAATGGTTCAGAACTTTTTCAACCGCTCCGATAGATGGATGCAATATTCAATAAGGAAACAAACAAAGAATACTGAGTTATTACGAAAATAGTCATTCTTGACAGATGATCCGTAGCCTTACATGTTTGTCGATGGTCACAGTCGGCAGCTGTATATGGTCAAGGATATTACTAAACCAGTGCAGTTTAGCCAGTGAATAGATCAAGCTTTATATGTGGACGGTTGGCAATATGAATTTCTTTCAGTGAACTCATTAGTTTACATGGACTTATGATGAAACACTCAACCAATGAACAATACCTTAGCAACAGCAGTAGTGTTTGTCAACTGAATTACTCAACCATCACCAAAATTAATGTAAAAGGTGGTGAAAAAAGGTATGTTCATATAATTCAAAAGTGTCTACCTATTTTACACGGGAACTATCTCATCTAAATTATCGTAATAAGTTGAGCAATTTAATTGTTGTCTGGTACGATAATGATAGTATTCAAATCGAACAAGATTTCGGTAATTTAAGCTCGTGAAACGAGGAGCAATCTTCCTTAACTTCATGCTTATTCGGCAAGCACATTTGCATCAGGTTAAAAATATTTGAAATACGGCACTTGAAGTCTTAAACAATCATTGTTATTTTTTTAACAGGATCTGAGCAGTGGTGCACCTGAATATCAGGAAGAATGAGCTTCTTGGTTTTATTATTTCTGGCCATTGTAGCAGGCCTTGCAGCAGCTTATTATACAGGTCATCTGGACACATATATTGCTGAAGCTCAACGGAAAATGAAACATTAATAGAAGATAGTATTAATAGAAGACAGTACCTGCTTATATGTGATTTCAAATTTAACAAAGTGCTGTAACTAACTAATCAGAAGTATTTCCATATTTATACGCATGAAACTGATTGATACAATTGAAACTTTAATATGTATTGCTTGTAACAATAATCTTGAGCTTATTATGGAATAAATGTAGTACATCTTGATCCTTGAATGCATGAAATTTGGTCCTCTGATGTTACATGGATCAGAATAAAGAAGTACAGAGATATGCCATCGCAATCTTATCAACTGCTACATTCATCTGTACACTTGTAATGCTAGAGAAGCATGCACGCAAACTGCAACATGATAGAGCTGTGACATATGCATGCAAATGCACATTTGGATAAGTTTCCAACCGTCAACAAAGTAAAAATAACGTAAGGGAAGTATAAAAATCATTTCAATGCTAACATTTGAAAAAGTTCCTTCAGCTAAGTGACCACACTTCAAATTAGCTCGATATTCCTTCGATACATCTCGATAGCAAGATTGATAATAGTGTTATTATTGGACTAGAAATATGCCTAGGATCGAGAACTCAGGCTGAATAAATAAACTACTTCGATCATCAGTTAAACTTTCCATGATTTTCTTTCTAGGAAATGATGCAAACATAACTTAGCTATTGTATAATACCAGATCTTCTTTTAAAGGATCAATAATACTTTCTATAACGATCAGTGTATATGGGAATTGAATCCGGTAATAGTTAAACTATCTGGAGATTTGAGTAGACATCTAGCCAGTTTCAAATAGAAAGAAATGACCACTTTCAGATGCTGATATGAACTTCTTGGAGAAGGGACGCAATGCTCAACAAACACTTCCTTTTATCGGTTTATGTAGCTCAAATCATGGGACGATTTCTTTCAAACAATGATTGCTCTAAATACAAACAATCCTTTGTAGTAAATAATCATTGATCCGAACATTGCAACATTCTCAACAAAACTGATAATGAATCCATTTGGTCAATGATCATACCATATAAAAAACGTAAACGTTGAACTTTCTCTCTCTCTCTCTCTCTTTCTCACTCATTCATATATTACATCAATATAACCTTTTAATTTCATTTAATTTTTATTAAAATATGGTCTCTATGAAAGTTTATTTGATGAGTAAGCAGGCAATACAATGGGAATGAATGCATTGTTATTGTTATCAGAAGAAATTTCGTCCCTGCTAATAATTATTCTTATCCAATTGGGTTGCTCTGAAAAATTGAAAGAATAAAATTTCCCTGATATCATGAAAGATTGTAGAATGGTAGGATTTGTTGAAAAAAATTAAAGTCGTACCCACGTGATCGTGTTACTGGACCAGATCGAGATGTTCTAAGCACTGCTTTTATTTTTTATTTCTATCTTTCGGGTTAAATCCAGCAGTATTTTTCTTGACCTTGGCAGTTGAGAGTGATTTAGTTGCAGGAGGGACTGAGGTCACAACAGCGGATTTACGTGTTTGGTATGATTTCGGCAGGCGTCGTGTATCAAAAAGTTGCGAAGTAGAGATCGGAAATGATGGTGATGGAGTTAGTTCGTCCTCATAGTCTTCACAGGCTGTCCTGAATTCAAGTTAAGAAAAATTCCAGGATTTTAAAAGCTTCTCAAAGCTGGCTAGAAGAGTCGGACGCACATAAAGTGGAAAGGAGTACGACGACGATCGTAAGATCGATGATGCCGATTGTAATCGTAAAGTTCTTCATCGTAGTCGTCTTCTGAGAAACTATCCTCATCACTGTTATCCGAATCATACACCTCGTCATCCGAATAATGGTTGTAATGGTCCTTCTGCAAGTTCAGGTCTGATACAAAGCGCAAAGGTCAATAGTAAGACCTACAAAAAAAATTTTTTCGGTAACACGGTCAGAAATGCCTGCGTCAGAAATGCCTGCGTACCATAGCAAGAGCTTTGGCTCGACGTGATAGCAACGGAGCGACACTACCGAGGCGGATTCTCCCCCCCTGAACGCTTTGAATTTCTGGTGAAACTCCACGGCGTGCTGCATGTGAATATCCGGCTCGAGCTGGTTTACTCAATCCCACGTCTCGTATCTTATGCTTCGTTCCATTTATCAGTTCAACTTGTCGGCCCCTCTTCGGCATTTATCCCGCGATTGTCACACACGAGTGAGCTGAACCACTAACCCTACGAAAATCGGTTGGGGACACCAGTTAATTTCTAGTCAATGGTTGTGTTTCTCCGTCTGTTATAACATATAAATATTTATATAATCAGAAAATTTGCATATTTCAAAAAGTTACCCAAATATAACAGACTAATGCAAATAAAATAATTTCTTTCATTCCATGATAAATAAGCTTAAAAGATTTAAAAATTGGCATGAATGAAGAAGCGATGTATGAATTTCTTCTTGATAACAATCAGACAAATGCATTTTCTAAAGTTGCAAAAGATCATAAACAAACTTTGATATAAAACTTAGTTTTTTGAACTCTACTGCAAACTTCTCTATTTCCGATAAAAAATTAAGCCTAGTTCTCATTACTTTTCATTTTTAGCAATTACTGCAAAAGTTCGTATCAATCCCAGAAAATATGATGAGGAAACTATTGGGAAAAAAAAAACTTTTCCTAATTCCAATCAAAACCTCAGATACTTTGAAACGGTAAAAGTTGAGGTTCAAGAACTTGAGGCTACTTTTTTAATTTAGAAAAATAAAATAGTATTTAATATTTAAAAAAATAGTATTTAAAATTTAGAAAAATAAAATAGTATTTAATACACTATTTTATATAATATACTAATATATATACTAATATGTCATATACTAATATGACATATACTAATATGTCATGCATAAATCAATCCACTGAGTCATTCATAATTGCCTAAAAGTTATGTCCCTTTCGATTTATTTTATGATTAATTATCGGAGAAATTAATTAGAAAAATTAGTATTACGCGCAATAAGCATAAAACGAATAGAAATAGTTGAAGTAATACAAAAAAAAACGACATGGATTTAAGTTGATTTAGGGAAAATCTTTTCAATGAGTAAAGTAAGCAAAAAATCATAATTTCGATCTGAAATTTGAAAAACTTGAAGTTCTCATCATAATCTTGTAGATGTTAATATTAATTCATAGCTTTACAGCTTTGTATGATTCAAATCCTAATGGAAACAAAATGTTGCAATCTATGTGTAAAATCGCTAGGTTTGTCCTTTACTTGGCGGAAATGTCACAACAGAAAAATATAAGTGAGCAGTAAATAGCGCAAACACCAGACTTTTTCACCCACTCAAATGAATTGCACAGGTAAAGACCCGTGACAGAAACAAAAGTCTGTGACAACCATTTCGCAATGAACTAAGGCTAGTCACGATGTTACTAATGTACCTGATTATTATATAACGATAATAAATGCTGTTATAATTAAGAAATACCAAAAAATTACATTTATCTCATTTCTTTCTCTATCCACTCCAGCAATCCCGAATCTGGTTACAGGGAAATAAGGGCGTAGTCACTCTTTTAAATTCAGTTTTCAACCAAACATCATCGATATGTAAGATGATCAATTACTAAAAGGATATTTTGTTCCTGACCTATATTCTTATTCAGTAGTACCACTGATGGCATCGATTGGATTCTGAATTTCTATTTCGATTTTTAATTCCTAAAATCTCAGAGGAAGTCAGGAAAACGAAAATCCGTTCCACTGAAACGATTGCGCTTTTGCTTCTATTTAGAGCAATTATGATGAGATGAACTGCAAAGAAAGGAATTTGTCACAATTTATTTGACAGATATGATATTGTCCGTTTTAAATAATTTCAAATACACTTATATTAAATCATTTTTCATCATAACATATACATTGTGAAAATCACAGATCACTCATGTATTAGCAAATATTTTTCATCTGATGCAGCATAATGTATTACTGTTTAAATTTTGAAAAATATTGATCCAAATAGCCAAGATGATAAGCCACAGCAAATCCAACTAATCCCAAAATGAATAAAATGCAAAGTGCACTCATCCTCCAAATACTGGCTTTCCTCCTTTGGCTTCACACTAATTAGTGAAATCTTCAACAGTTAATCGTATTAACGACAAATAATTTACAATGATAAATGGAACTTTACTTCTACTCCTTTTATAGACGCTATTTTCAATAGCGATTCCTATGCAAATTGAAGTTTAACTGTTTCCATTTTTGCAAATTGCTTAAATGCGGATGTAAACTGAATACTACCGACTGTTTGGTTACTACTTCAGAAAAAGGATGATTATATTCATTAGGCCTGGCTGAAGGGCTCTTAATTGATAGGAGAAATCTATCTCCCTTCCTAATAACCTGACAGATAAAGGGTAACGAAGTTACTCTTAATTTGTATGACATATTTGCTTGAACCTCAAATACTTCCAGGTACTATCTTCTATGTGATAAGATTGAAAGATGGGAGTAAAGCTCTAATATCCCTTTCCGCAATATACATTTAATTAAAAACTTGATATCCTGAAATCTAAATTTGATTTTGTAATAACTTGTCGCATCCATCGTTCATTTGTTTTTAGAAATTGCTATTTTTATGGCGAATCATTTAATTTACTTATCTAATTATGCAAAACTCACATTTCAGCAACTTTCATTCATTTATACTTTAAATTTCTTATAACTCCTTGAATAATGATGGAAATTTGATTCTCGTCATTGTTTTCAGTATTTTTTGCAGCGATCGGTTGCTTCATATTAGTACAAGAAGAAAGGCAAAAATGATTTGGTGTTGTAATCAAAGTAATCGGTAAGCGGTATTGTTAAATGAGATTGTTCAGAGTTAAAATCCTGATCCTAATTCATGTGGGTTTTCATGCCCGACAAATTCTTCTGCTGAACAAATTTGGAATTAATCTGGCTAGCTTAATTTGGAAACACTAAAAATAAATGGTTAGAATAGGGAATAGGATAATAGAATACATTTTCCAGCAAAAAAATTCTCCAGTAAATGCAGGAAATTGAAGAAAAACCACAGTCACAGATAGAATGATTAGGACAGAACGGTTCACAATGTCATGAGCAATAGATGGATTTGAAAGCAATGATTTAATGGTTAACAAATGAGCTTCCATTGAAGAAGGCGCAAATGACAAAAAGCTATTATGATCCATTGAATGGTAGTGGATGGATGGCGTTATTGTACTTTATTAATAAACATGAAAATTAACGAGAAATTGCAGGAAAGCTAAACAGAAAGTAGAATTGATCATTGTCGCTGTCATCATTGTATTCGTCGAGAGTTTCATCAGGAATCAGGGTTAAAGTTTATCTAACTTCAGAAGAAAGTCAACTGGGAGAACAGTCATTTCGTGAAAGACAACATCAAATCTTCCTTCCACTAATCAATCTTTTGACAGTAGAGCTTGACAGGGCATGTATGTGAGCAGCGCAATAGGTATTTTCTACAGCTTAAATTAACCAAAATAGTCAAAACAGGCCACTAATAGTTGCTTCAAATCATCGCATTTATCTTAATGTTTATAGCATACAAAAGTTCGATACAATCCCACTCACCGTTTAATTTTGCTAATTCACAACTTTCACAACAGCTATTCTAGCGGCCGGCATATCCACTGAATCAACAACAACTGCTGTTGTTCGCATTTCTAGTACAGTAATTACGAGGATTACCGATCCCACTGAACAACCAATAGAAACAACAACAACAATAACGGAAACAACGGAGACAACAACGACACATGTAACAACAACAACAACAATGGCTATTACTCATATTCCTGATACTACGACGGTGATCACCAAACCAACAACAACAATTACTTCCACCACGATTTCCATCTCCCAAATGTTGCAAGAAACAAAATCAACCAGATTAGGAACAGAAATTACTTCCGCTACAGCTACTACCATTCCTAAGATGTTACAAGAAACAGTACAATCAACCGAACTAGGTTAATTCCCTCAACAGATATCCCGTTAACAGTACAATTACAAGTGCTACATTATCAGTGTAGTGATATTAAATTATTTTTTTAGAAGTCTCTTTAACTTTTCAAGTATCCAATACGGATAATCAAAGTAACCCTTCCTCGCGTCTTATAGAAATACAAATATAAAATACTCATGCATATATTAGGTCCAGTGTTGAATAACGTGGTAAATATTTAATCAGTGGACGTCTGCAAGAAATTAACCATTTGAAGCTACCAGAATTCACCTGTTCTAGAAGCCTAAGCATAGTATTATGAGGATTCCGTTGAGATTTGCTTTCAGGAGATTTTGTGTTCAGTAAATTTTAATGATTCTGCAGGTTCTGAAATTAGCATACCCTCAGTTTCATCTGTTCAGCAATCTATGATACCTATCAGATCTACAGATACAAGTAATATTTTGTTTGTAAATTTCTACATAACAATAGCTTAAATGAGGTGGAGATTGAAACTGTAAATAATGAAATTTGAAGTTAGCAATTTAAAGATTTGAAAGCTCATCAAAAATTAGTTGGCCACTGTGCATATTGCATAAATAATATTGGTAATAATGAAAAATATATGACATTATGTTTACAAAATAATCGATATTAGTGATTTCGATATGTTTATGGATCAAATTTAGTTCATTTTTTTCCATTTATAGTGCATCTCTCACTTTTAATCATAAATAAAACCAGAAACTTTAGAAGAACCACGATCGGCATTCGTGTTAGTGTTACTTGGGGTAAGTGCTTCTGTCATGACTATATCATTAACGTTTATATTAATGATCAAATTTGGTGTCATCTTTCAACAGCCCGAGCATTCATCACTACGACAAGGACAAATTGATGAAGCATTGTGAATTCAAGAAAATTTTACAAATTTGTTCTTCATCAGTATGGGATTTTCATAAATGCATACATTTCTCTTTACTTTTAATAACTTATTCAAGTCATCTTTTTATTTCTTGTAATAAATTATTTGATTTATAACTTAGTTGTTGAAGCGCCTGGACATCACATTTGGTTACCATATTTATGCCATTGTCCGAATATATCTTTCCAGGAATATAAAAATACCATCTCTTCTCTTTCGATTGCTACTTACCACTTTTGCATAGCTATTAATATCTTTTCAACAGGTGGTAGGAGGTTATTTTGTTTCTGCCTATTTATGATAAATTTAATAATGACATAATGGCATGACTTAACTGATGTTAGGTGTGTTTTCATTGCACTAAAATTGTGAACACTTAGTGCGACGTGAAATCTTAAATGAATCGATGCATCGTTGAAGTTTCGAGATGCGATAATAAAACAAATCATCATCATTGACAATTGTTGTGCACCAATCTTTAAGCACCAATTTTTTTACAAAATGATGAAAAACAGCCATCATTTTGGATTTGTTCAAGTTGGAAGAGCTTGACAGTTATTGTATTTATATTACAGTTTCCAAACAGTTATTATACTTATGTTACAGTTTCCGAACAGTTATTGTATTTATGTTACAGTTTCCGAATAGTTATTGTGTTTATGTTACTATGTTTGTATTTATATATTTATATTTTATATTTATATTTTTTATTTATATATTTTTTGCATTTATATTTTTATGTTTATATTTATATTATTTATGTTTAGTTTCCGAACTTTTTGTTGCTCTGAACAAACAGCATTTTCTGATTTTTATACGATAATATAAATAATTTTTACCCAAAATTGACTGAATTAATAAACAAAGAATTGAAAGATAATAGGAAAAGAATAATTATACAACAACAAATGACTACGTGAATAAACAAATTGAAAACACTGGGCGCATAAAATTTTACAGTATACAATAGAGAAATTCACTCAAAACATTATTCTGCCGATTCAATTAAAGGTAATTAACTATTTAGACAATTATGTAGTGAATATCCAATTTAAGAGATGGCGTTGCACAATGCTTAACTTACGATGACATTTAAGCATTAGCTATAGATATAATTTAAACATATAACTAAAACAATTCAGCGATGCTAATAATGAGAAAGGAGAAGAAGCGTCAAATGTGAACGGGTGAGGTTGAAATAAAGAAATTTTTGCAACTTTGATATTACGTTGTGCAAATTTCCAAGAAATAAATTATGATTTCCACTTTATGATCCACAAGCATACAATATAATGCAGAAGTAAATCGTGGATTTGTGGTAAGTGAATTTGAAAATTCCAAAACTGAAAAAAAATGTTTGGATCTCTGCTTCAGTCCGCGATACCTACCAAAGAGTTTTCTCAGCGATTACTAAGAGAAATACAGGAAATTGCGGCGCCCTCTAAAACTCTGTTTACTGACGAAAAAAAGATTTACGAAAAACTTCTACCGATTGCAAAATTCAATTTGGTCCATCAGTTCTGCTGTAAATATTTTGGAGGAGATAAATCAAAAATGGTTGAATAGAAAAGGGAAGAACAAATATATGTTCAACTAGAGACGGAAAAGAAAGAGATGGAAACGGTTTTGCTGTGTACCTAAATTGGAATTGATAAAATTCTTTGGCAAACCTCTAATTTGGCTTGTCCTCCTTCTATGCAAATTTTCAAGTTGCTATGGATAATCAAAATATTCCTGCAATACAAAAATTGTCCTTTGTATTGGATGTTTGACTGAAAGAGCTATGGGATATGGGAGCTATGGCAGCTATTTTTAGGTATACTATTACTCCTGAAAATTATCCAGTGATAGTGAATGTACTCAAACAAGAATTTAGAGATCCAAGAGCAATCCACCGGCAATTGTAATATAAAAAAGACTACCTATAGCCGAAAAAAGTGAGGATCTCCGATCAATCGTTGAAAACTTGAAAAGGATTCTACACCAACTGGAAACAGTGAATGAAAATTTGGACCATCCAAAAATTGAAATATAAATTGAGTCGAAACTGCCATGATGGATTTTGCATGAGATCCACCAAAATTAAAAAAAAGACAATTCATGATTTGTAACAAAACTGAGGAAACATAGTAAGAAGAAATGAAGCTATGAATCGACTGTAAAAGGTGGTACTGCTGAAATCGCAAGAATAAGTCAGTAATTCCTTTATTGTAAATTTGATACCAGTGGGTTTATATGTTACATATTGTGAATTTACTGTCGCGAATTCCGAATTCGCGAAACTCCAACTAAATTCCAAATAAACAAATAATCAAATAAATACCTCATTACTAATTCTACATTCCTTAGATTTATTTCCCATCTTTGTATTGTTAGCTAAATTCACATCCTTGTGTTCACATCCTACAAATGCTTAATGAAAACCACTCCCACTTCCGAATATATATAAACCATATTGCATTAATAAAAGGAGGAAGGATCGATAAACTTTCTACAATCTGGTACGTTTATCAACATAATTCAGTTCAACTCAACCAGACTTGCCGGACTCAAGGAACTGTTCAATCAATCCAACGGATCGTCAATTCGGAACAAATTTGAGGTGGTGATTCTAAGCTCTTAACGGACCTCTCAATAATTCTACAAAAAAAATTCACGACATTTACTGTATAATGTAAAATGTAAGCTAAAATTGTGCATCGGTTATGTTCCTATGCACTAATTAAGAGCTCCACTCCAGAATATGCCAACAAAGGCGCTAATTCTTCTAATCTCAGAACTGTACCATGATCCTTCTTACTTGAAGAAGCGCAGAGGTCTGAGTACCAAAAGGATTTTAAAAATGTATTTCAACTAGACTGGTTGAATAGACAATGTCGGGCGTCATTGGTCTCCTTTTCATACTTTTTTTCTCCATATCGTCATTTTTTTTCATACTATCAGTACGAGAAAAAAGATGTGACAATAATTGGTTCGAAGAATAATAGGCAAGAAATGATGACAGTTTTTCTGGATGCAGGATCACAATTATCCTTTATCACTAAGGAAGTATATAAGCAATTGGAACTGAAAAGAGAGCAAAATATTTGAGAATAAAAGGTTTCGTACAGTTAAAGAATATCAAACAATAACAGTGTCGCTCAATATCCAATTAAAAAAATGAAAAGCATAATTGATGAAAGTGACAACAGTGACACTTACATAGAATTGATAACCAGGAGAAGTAATTGGTAAAAAATACGGAAATCGACTGGATGGAATTCCATAAAAAAATGAGAAAAACCAACGAAACAGATTATTTCTGACAGGACAGTTCTGATTGGAGTGCGAGCTCTTCTTGTCAAAAAGCGCAGAACCGTTTCCACTCCTTCCTTTTGTGTCCCCAGCATTATTGACATATCTCTACTTTTCCCATTATATTAATGAAGCCATACTCATCAACTACAATTTGAATATACGTTTATTTCCTTTTCTTTTGTTTTTCATCAGATGATTGTTTTGATTAATTCCAGCCATTTTTAATTTATTTTTTTCCAAAGTGATGAGAAGTGATGGATCGAATTGAATATTGCAATCGGTAGGGAAGTTTTTCGTAATAAACCCATTTTTCTTCAGTAAACAGAGTTTCAGGCGGTTCACAATTTCCGGCAGTTCTTCCAATAGTCATTTCAAACATCTTTTGATAACATCCTTTTGATTTCAGACATTTTTCTTCAACTTCAAAACTTTCAAATTTACTTGCCGTAAATCTACTATTCTCGTTCGTTCCCGCACAAGAGAAAATTGTAATTTTTCCGTTGGAAATTTGTACAACTTAACACCAGAGTTTGAGAATTTTCTTCATTTCCACCTCAAAGTTAGGTAATTAAACCATTGAAAAACCAAACCAAAGAGAGTAATTAAACCATTGGATGAAAAAAATGTTGACGTCGCATAATCACTCAGAATTAAAACATAAATTAAACTCTAAAACGTCACCCTAAGATAAACTCTCAGAACCCAAACAAAAAAACAAAAAAAAAAAATAGTCTTCCTCTATATAAGTCTATCCTTCACAAATGTGATTTTATGATTATAAGAATTAGCACGTTTGTTAGCATAGTTGAGCATATTACTAAAGCATATTGCAAACCAATAAGCACATATACAATAATTCTATGTACACCGAATAGTACCTTCTGTAAATAGGAAAGAAATTATAATTTTCAAACTTTATATTACGATCCAACTTGGCAAATTAAAATTGATACAAAACAATACAGTCATTTATGAACGTTTATTTATTTTTTTTTAGTCATACAATTATTTCGTGTTTATTCGAGAGGATGGATGAGAAAAGTAAATCACGGGATTAACAATATTTGTATTTTGTTAAAAATTTATCTGTCAAAAATCTTTTTATAATAGAATGTTTAAACAATCAATGAATATTTATTCAGTAAATGATTTTATACATAAAAATTTGAAAATGAAACTTTAGTTTTTTCCCAAATTTACATCATTGTGGAATGTATTCAAATTGATCATTTAAGATTAGAAAAAGTGTATTCTTTGAATTTTTTAAATGGATTACTTGAAATTGTTGATCAAACATACTTGTCCTCTAATTCTATCATTATTAAATATTTTCCATTATGTTAACATTTTATTTGTTGTTAGCTTTTTCAATCTTCTACTTTTTTTATTTTTTAATTTTTTTTTGTTTGTACAACAATAACACATAACAATCTTATAGGATTGAAAGTATCAAAATATCTAAAATAAAATGGTTTAATTTATTTCTAAATTTTATTTCAGCTGAACTAATTTCATTTAAAGTCACCCCTATTCAAATGAAATTATGAAACACATATGTCTTTTAACGTCATATTTTTGAATTCACTCAATCCCATTCATTTTATTTAAATTTAAATGTGATTAAGATTATATTTTCCCTAAGTATTTTTTGCATATTTCCGAAAATATGCGTATAAATCACTTGCACTGGCATAAAAATTTGATTTTCAAGTGACCTAATCATTGTTTTCGATTTGTTAACTTCAAGGTGTTTACATTTTCTTTATCCTCATTAATCTGGTTACTTTGTCACGGCACGACTTTGTGTCCACCAGAAACATCCATTCAACAGTTTCTAACGCTTGTCGGTGTTTAACGAACGTGAAACATCATGACAGGTAAATCAAACACTAAAATGATGATCATGGCCGTAACAACGATAATAACAACCTTTGGTGCGTACAAAATGGGTTTGATGAATTGGATGTTCAAAAAAGATGACAAATGTAAAATAAGTGGCGGCAATAAGTAGGAATTTCAAAATTTCGTCCATAAATTCTTCAAAACTGATAATTTTCAAATGGAAACAAATCGATTACAGCATTAACAATATCGCTTTGAAGTTTATAAGTGATTATGCTTTGATTATTGACACTTTTTAAATGGCCATGTATAAAACGTTTTTGGAAAGTTGAAATGCAGTGTTGCAAAGTTTAAAATTTGCATTGAACGGGATATTGTTCAGTATGATTTGTTAAAGAAGTTAGGAATTTAGACCACTTTTTTCGGCTTCTATATCTCATATCACAGATTTGTTTTACCCTGACCTCTTAAATATAAGTGAAATAAAACAATAAGAACATTTAGATCAGACATAATCTCTTCACTTTCCTCAAATAAAAGAATATTACAAATTGAATGATATTTGAATGAATTTAGAAAAATATAAACAACACTTTTCAATTGAAATTGTTACCAAAAAAAAGGATACATTTTGTAAAAACCAAATGTTCAGTAAGCATTCCTTCAGTATAGTCTTCATTATAAAACTGAAATTAAAGAATAATTCACAGTTACATACGTATCAGTTACATCTATACGTGCACACATACATGCACATACACGTACACACACATACAACACATACATACGTATACACACATCAAGGAATGTACTAAAGCCTCTTCTCCATTGCTTTAATCATTGGCTAGAATTGAAAGTGTTGTCATTTCAATTGACTCATCAATTGGTTTTTCCACCTTAATCAACTGTCGTAAAGTTGGGGTTGTATTCTTCAAAGTAACATTTAAAGTAGTATTGCATTCTTCAACCGAAAGATCTGAAGTCACTTCATTTAGTGCTGTACTTTCCACTTCTGTTGGGATCAAATTTATTATCACTGATTTATCCTCCGAACTGACAGCGACATTTGTTGGCATCGCATTTGTTATCACTGATTTGTCCTCTGCACTGACAGCAACATTTGTTGATAGGGCATTTGTTATCACTGATTTATCTTCCGCACTGACAGCGACATTTGTTAGCATCGCATTTGTTATTACTAATTTGTCCTCTTCGTTAACAATAACATTTGTTGGCATCGCATTTGTTATTACTAATTTGTCCTCTTCGTTAACAATAACATTTGTTGGGATCGCATTTGTTATTACTAATTTGTCCTCTTCGTTGACAATGACATTTGTTGGCATCGCATTTGTTATCACTGATTTGTCCTCTGCACTGACAGCAACATTTGTTGGCATAGGATTTGCTGTTACTAATTTGTCCTCTTCATTAACAATGACATTTATTGGCATCGAATTTGTTGTTACTAATTTGTCCTCTTCATTAACAATGACATTTATTGGCATCGAATTTGTTATCACTGATCTGTCCTCTGCATTGACAGCGACAGTATCAAACATAGTTTCTGAAAATCGATTGCAGCAGAAACAGTAACAATAAACATGTAGCAGAAAGGCCTCTGTGACCCATCCAATATAGAAATAACATATTCACGATAACATGACTGAAATATTATTCGGAAATGAGCTGAAGTTCGAAATCAACCATATAACTATATGATGAATATATTGAAATACGTGACAAGATTGATTCAGCTTTGGGGTCATTACCTGATTGTATGGTGCTGCTTGACTGAGTGTTGCCACCTGATTCCTTGGGGTCAGTAATTGTGATATCGCGTCTTCGACCTACACCACTAGAAATGCCACCACTAAATACTTCCTTGCAGTAACCTAGTTCTGCACTCCATTTCCCGTCCAAACAAATAGCAGATGACGGTCCGATTGGTAGTTGACCTACAGGACAATGCAGCATCGCAAATGTGCCAGATGGATATTTGTCGAAGGTTTCTGGCTGCAAAAAGCAAAACTAAGAAAACTATTTTCTGAAATGATATTAAATAAAGGTATTACATGCGTTCATGAAGTTCTAAGTTGACAAATCCGGTCCCATGTGGATCGAAATAAATCCCTACTGATTTTTTTAGTCTGAATACAAAAGACTCGTTGAGATCTGGATGTGCAAATAAGCACTACTGATTTATACAAATGCATGCAATTCATGCAATTATTAGCAGGGAAATACAGATACGCATGCAAAAGAAGAATATGCAAATCAAGACATCTCTACATATTTGGAACTTTTTTCTTCGAAAATAAGTAGGAGGACTTTAAAAGTATAAATTACCAGTAACTTTCTACGATACCATGTTTTCCCTCATCTTCATTGTCTTATGCATATACATAGGTTAAAAAGGTTTTCCGACTGTCGCGAATTCCGATTCGCGAGATTCCAACCATACAAATATATAATCAAATAAATTTCTTATTGTAAATGAATATATCCAATGTTATGACTCATTTAATTAATTCTACATTCCTTAGATTTATTTCTATGTTTTTCCGGTCTTTATCTCAGTTCAAATCTTTGTATTCATGTCCAACAGGAAATGCCTTTGCTAGTAATCGTTTCAAATTATTTATCTCAATTCCCAGCTTTGTCCGGACGCATCTTTATTTTAAGGACAAAGAATGTCCAATCTGCATGCTAATCCTCCCTCTGTTCTTGTCACAATGCTTATT